GTTGCGAAGTTGTTGAGAGTGTGGTCGCGCAACAGCTCCCCCAGCACCTGGATGAAACAACGTATCTGGATCCGTTCCAGTCGGGCTTCAGGCCCGGGTACAGCACGGAAACGGCATTGGTCGCGTTGGTTGATGATCTCTGGAGGGCGCGGGACAGGGGGTGCTCCTCTGTCCTGGTCCTGTTAGATCTCTCAGCGGCTTTTGATACCATCGACCATGGTATCATGCTGCACCGGTTGGAAGAGTTGGGGGTGGGAGGCACTGTGTTGCGGTGGTTCTCCTCCTTTCTCTCTGACCGGTCGCAGTCTGTGTTGACAGGGGGACAGAGGTCGACCCCGAGGCCCCTCATATGTGGGGTGCCGCAAGAGTCGGTCCTCTCGCCTCTCCTGTTCAACATTTATGTGAAGCCGCTGGGCGAGATCATCCGTGGTTTCGGGGTGGAGTACCATCAGTACGCTGACGACACCCAGCTGTACATCTCCACCCCGGATCACCCCAACGATGCCCTTGAAGTGATGTCCCGGTGCCTGGAGGCAGTACGGATCTGGATGTGGAGGAACAGGCTCAGGCTCAACCCATCCAAGACTGAGTGGCTGTGGTTTCCGACGTCCCGTTATAGTCAGTTGACGCCATCACTGACTATTGGGGGCGAATCATTGGCCCCCACGGAGAGGGCTCGCAACTTGGGCGTCCTCCTGGATTCACGGCTGTCTTTAGAAGAGCACTTGACGGCCGTGACCGGGAGGATTTTTCATCAGGTTCGCCTGATTCGCCAGTTGCGTCCCTTTCTGGATCGGGACTCGTTACGCACGGTCACTCATGCCCTTGTCACCTCCCGCCTGGACTATTGCAACGCTCTCTACATGGGGCTCCCCTTGAGGAGCACCCGGAGGCTCCAACTGGCGCAGAGTGCGGCCGCGCGGGTGGTAATGGGAACGACATGGCGTTCCCATGTAACACCCCTCCTGCGCGAGCTGCACTGGCTCCCGGTGGTCTTCCGGGTGCGTTTCAAGGTTCTGGTTACCACCTTTAAAGCGCTCCATGGCTTAGGACCCGGGTACTTGCGGGACCGCCTACTACCACCAATAGCCTCCCACCGGCCGGTACGCTCCCATAGAGAGGGGCTCCTCCGGGTGCTGTCAGCCAAACAATGCCAACTGGCGGCCCCCAGGGGGAGAGCCTTCTCTGTGGGGGCACCTACTATCTGGAACGAGCTCCCCCCAGAGATACGGAGGATCCCGGATCTGCACACCTTCCGCCGCGCCTTAAAGACCTTACTATTTCACCAGGCCGGCCTGGCCTAATTTTCCCCCTCTTTCATAAAAGATTTTTAAAATTTTAAATATCTTTTAGTATTTTATATATTCAATTTTAAATTGGTTTTAAAAGTTTGGGGTTTTAAATTTGTCGGGGCCAAAATTATTTAATTTTATTTTATTCTATTTTTAAATTTTGTATTGTATGTGTTTTTATTGTTTGGCTGTGCACCGCCCTGAGTCCTTCGGGAGTAGGGCGGTATAGAAATTAAATAAATAAATAAATAAATAAATAGTCCTTGACTTACAATTGGTCACTTAGTGACCGCTTGAAATTACAAGCAGCTTGAAAAAGGGAACTTACAACCTAGATCCAAGGTTCTGACAGTCACACCCCCCCCCCAAAGACACATGACTGCACTTTAGGCACTTAGCAACCCCACTGCATTTATGGCAGTTTCATTTCATGGCCAGGTGACCACATTTTACCAGTTTTGCTAAAAAGCAGTAGTTTCAGTTTCTGGCAAAACAGTGCCCATAGCAAATAATAGGTTTGTTTGTGACTCTTGTGTTCATGACTGCCACAAAAATGCTGTATAATGGGTCCATCACATGACTGATCCATTTTATAACTCTTACAATTTATGACTATAATGGGCAGGCTCCATTACAGTTGTAACTTGAGGACTTCTTGTACTGTATTTTCTAATGCAGACTTAACTAGAGAGGATCAGTGCTCATATTAATGAAATAAGAAATCACACTGGAAGTGTTTTAACATTTTAAAGTGCTTTTGTTTTAAAACACCAGGCATATTGTTACAAAATGCTAATCCACTACATGGATTAATCATAAATATACCTGCCAGTTCCTCATTCATATACAGTGCCTTTTTCCTGAGTTTGAAAATCAGGCTACTCCTGTTACTCAAGAGAGGAACTAGCAAACATATTTTGATGAATAATGCAAATGTGCCCCATTGAATCCTAACTGGTTCTTACTATGATTATTTTTTTAAGTAAGAATAAAGATGTAATTTTTTTCTTTTACAGCTCCAATAGAAGGATGCCATTGTTCACCTTACCCAGAAATTGATAATTTTGTTCGCACTTTAATCAAGAAAGATAATATTCAAGGAGGTAAAAAAAATATACCCAGGAGAAATATGTTTTTGAAAGGTACTTATATTGTTTTCAAGAAATAGACTATCTTGTTTTTCAGGGATAAGAAGATGGAATTACTTTTCACTTGAACAGCTTATTGTATATGACATCTCCAACTATCGGTGGTGCAGAAATATTGGCAGAGCTCACAAAAGTAATAATATAATGTAGGTTCACTTTTTTGTTACTCTTAATATCTACTTAATGTTTTGGAACCTAAATTATATTTATTTCATGGTATATAGGCTTTTGTAATTATGTTTAGAATTTTTAAAGAAAAAGAAAGGTATAGCAAGATTTGATATATGTTGGAATACAGGGAATAAAAGTTTGACTGGTAATCATTTTTAGTCAGCATCCATGAACAATGGCAATGAACTTTCTAAATCCAATATATGGGCGCTTCTCTATGTTCATAATGTTCAGTATGAACAGTCTTAGTAAATCAAATTTCATTCTGTAGTGCTTAATCTTATATGTATGATTGTCCTATTTTTCTTAACAGTAACAGAAAAGGAGGGAATTAATTACCTGGTATACAGACATCAAATAATAACATTCTTATTTATTACAGAACAAACTTTTTAATTCTAAAATCACATTTATATTTTAAGGATTATAATAGATTTGAAAAAGGAAAATTGGTATCAGAAATGTCATGATCCTATTTGCAGAGCTGAAAACTTCAAGTCAGAATGTGAGTACATTCTGTAATTATCCCATTATCATTACTTATTTTAAATAAATTGCTAATATAATTTCACTTGTATTCATGACATAGGTTTTCCACTACCAGTCGAAGTATGCTTGCCCTTCCTTTTCAAAGAGGTATGCTTTTCTCTTTTAATACTGAAATTTAGCATAAAATAAGACATATGCTTAACCAAATAGATAATTATGAAATAGGAACTTATACATGTAATAAATTAGCAGAATTATATATAAGTATATCTTTTTATCTTTGTTTACCATATAAGTAACTTAATTATTATAAACAAAGAGCTTTACTAAATGTATTTTGTAATTATAAAGCTATATTTGGAAACCTTCCTTAAGAAATATGTGTTACATCAGTTGAAACTTTGTTGGGATTCGATTTCCAGGAATTGTTACAAAATTCCTGGAAATCTGTACAAAACTGTAAATGGGCGAAGTTCAGCATGAATCTATAAAATTTGTTCAGTGTGCATTTAAAAATAGATTTGTTTCCTCCATTAGAGCAGGATAAAGTAAATATCGTGCTTGCTTTGGCAGCACATATACTAAAATTGGAACGAAATATCAGTAACCTGGAATGGGAATAGTTGAATAGAATATTTCTATCTGAACTAAGAGATAGGGAAGATTGCATTTAACTCTTTTAAACTGGAGTTGTCCCTCTATATTCTGTTAGTTTAAAGAAGCTTGCATGCAGTTCTTTATAACTGAAAAAAAAAAAACGTGCACAATTCTGTGCAGAACATTGTTATGGAAACGACCTATTTCTAACAAAAACCGCATATTGAAAACCATAAATGTAAACAGTTTATTTTCTAGAATAAAATATCAATACTTAGTTTCTTTTCTACAATGATTGGAGGTTATTCTATTAACTAGGTTTTGTTCTCCCACTTGCTTTAATAAGGCTATAATTTTTTCAGCATATCCCTATGGGAACAAAACCAGTTAATACAAGCCAAAAAAGGGCAACTTGGCACTCTAGGTGAAAATAATAATGAAATATACAGTGGCTACAAGCTAAATTCCACTTCTCTGTTTTCATCAAATATGGGACACTGCATAATCATCATTCATCCTCTATAGCAGTGTTTTTCAACCTTGGCAGCTTTAAGATGTGTGGATTTCACTTCCCAGTCAGTGCGCTTCCTTCCCATTATCTCCACTATCATCCATCCACCCACCCGAATCCTAAATACCCTCCCAGCAGTGTTCTGTTGTTCAAAGCTAGACAAGCCTAGAACTTTGGGGGTAGGTTTAGTCGTATGTAATTGGTATTCTATATGGCAATCTCACCAGAAAAGTATAATCTAAAACACTAAATTTTGATGTTTGCTCTTTAAAGGATGAAGAATATATAGGTACAATAGGTGAAAATAACACTGAAGAAAGAGCAAATACAGTTGATACTACAGGCTTATTGGACAGCATACCTTTTACTTCAGTGCAAGAAAATAGCAAGCTAAACAAGAAAAGTTCAAATGTTGAATGGGATCATGAGTTTGACGCCTGCCTTTTGGAAGCTTCTGAAGATGTGGAACTAATTGAAGCTACTGATATTTTTCATACCCAGAGGAACTGTACTATGGATGAAATACCTGATGAGCTCCTAGTAAGTGTTTTAAGAAATTATGAAGTAAAAGAAAGAAATGAAAGTTATAAAAGTCTTGTGGATGAAGTAAGTATCACATCAGCAGATAAATTTGTCAATACTGAAAACCCAGCAAAAAATTAACTTGATTATTTCTCTAAAACTACTCTGGTACTTTGCATATAATAAATTTTACTTATGTTTACTGTGGATGAAGAATAAAGACAACTAGAGCTTAGAAGCAACTAGGTGTTATAAAGATGACATTTAGGATTTAGGAAAAGGATTTTATTGAATTGCCAAAATATGTAAATAGTAATCCAAGTACATAAATAGTAATGTGATATATTTAGACAATTAAAAGCCTGCACGTTTAATTTTTAGTTTTAGTTTTAAGCACTTTTAGTTTTAATTTCTCAACAACCATCTTCTTTCTTCTTTCTTGGAAAGCAGCATATATGTACTCAACATGCAGCTACATGTGCCTTGCCAGATGAAACATTATTGCAACTAAATAATAGCAAGATTATTTTTCTGTTGGAAAGTCTACTTTCATGATAGGTCAAAGATCACTTGCTCTCTCACACAAAGTAAATCTATTAAAATACTGTATTTATGATTCAATGGTCTGTTTTATATAATTTATAGTATGAATACTTAGTTGGTTTTTTGCAATTCCAAACTCTCCTGTAATTTTGTGTTGATATTTTGTAAGTGACTTTCTGCTCCTAAAATTCTTCGTGACTCCATCAGAAGTGCAGGAAGGCTGGAAATGCTATACTATGGAACAGAAAGAGAAAAAACAAACTTAGTTTATAAATTTGTAAAATAATAAGCCTGTGTTAGAAATTCTTAATGTTTGGACCTAGTTTACTACTCGCTTTCTGAAGTCACCTCTTGCAAGTCTCTTGCAAGCTTTCCCATTGCAAGTCGTACTGATACAGCTCTACAATCCTTTGCATATACTCCTAATATCATCTTAATGCCCTGTCACTTCTGTTAGTACTTCTAGGCCCGTTCCTCTTCTCCTTGATGGTCATTTCTTTCTTGTTCTCTGTCTTTTATTTTCATTCTTTGTAATTTTACTTATGTTTATCTCCTCTGTTATTTGGGGGAATATTCTGATCTGGATTTGAAAACCTGTAAAAGTTTTTGGAGAGCCAGTTTGATGTACTAGTTAAGATTCAGGCCTTAGCTCAGGAGATTATGAATCCTAGTCTTGCTTTAGGCACGAAGCCAACTGGCTGATTTTGGGCCATTCTCTTTCAGCCCAACAAGAGGAGAAACCACTTCCAAAACTGATACCAAGAAAACAGCATGGACTTGTGCAGGCAGTTGCCACAAGTCAAGACTGTTTTAATTTCCTTTGCCCTTGTAGTTAACAAATCAGTCTTGACAGTTAAGATATATGGGTTTATGATTAATATCCATGCTGTTTTTGTGATGAAGGTTGATATCCTGCCCATATTGCAATTGTGTTTATGGGCTATCTCTGACATGTTCTTTCATGCATGTCTGAAAAGAAAGCTTTATCAAAATATGCAAGACTATATTTTATTCAGGAAGTTTTTTTCTTTTAATTCAGTATTGAAGTATACTTGAATCTGGGAACTCTGGAGCCATTACAAGGTTTGTTGCATTCTTAGTTTCAGGGGAATACAAATATCATCCTGCACAGAGCTTAAGACCTTTACCAGAATGTTTATTGTTTTAATAAAAATTATCTGCCTTGTTTATACTTGTACACTTTATTGGATATATCAATATTCCCCATGTCTGTAGGACTTATCTGAACTGGCTAAACTGGGATTTCTGGCCAGGTTAATAATGTTTAATTCCTCAGCAACTTTTTTTAAGGAACCTAAACTAACATAAAACTGCACTTAATCTGAGATTTACACACCAGAAATAAAAAGTACTGCACTTGATCTATGAAAGCATTATTGTACTCAAATGAAATGAGATGAATTTTAAATTTATCTAAGATTGATAAAATTTAAAAGCTAACCACAAAAATAATCAATATGCCACTTGCTTTTATTATTAATTATTATTAATAATATTAATAATTATAATATAATAATTACAATAATATAATTAATTATTGTTGTTGTTGTTATTATTATTATTTAATCTTTAGTGAGATTCACAGCCTTTGAGGCTGGTTAATAGCTCAGCAGCTCGAGTCTTAACCAAGGACCTAGGAACTGTTAAGGTATCGTCGGAGGATGTAAGCTGTTCCGAGTAAGGTGGTTTTTTGTAGAGTCAAAATGTTCAAGTCCGGCAAATTTAGAATTTCTAAATAGCGGGGTAGCCCTTTGGGTATTGCTCCAAGGGCTCCAATTACAATCGGGACTGTTGTTGTTGTTGTTGTTATTATTGTTATTATTATTAATTCAGACACGGCAGCTTACAGTGCATTTAAGAAAAAAGAAAAAGAAGGAAAAAACCATTAATGCTTCGTTGAGTGAGGGAAACTTCCCCGCTGCCCTGAAAGAGGCGGTGGTGAGGCCTCTCCTCAGGAAGCCGTCCCTGGATCCGGCAATATTGGCTAACTATCGTCCTGTCTCCAACCTTCGCTTCATTGTGAAGGTTGTTGAGAGTGTGGTCGCGCAACAGTTTCCGCAATTCCTGGAGGAAACATCCTATCTAGATCCGTTCCAGTCGGGTTTCAGGTCTGGGCACAGCACGGAAACGGCATTGGTCGCGTTGGTGGATGATCTCTGGAGGGCTCGGGACAGGGGTTGTTCCTCTGTTCTGGTCCTATTAGATCTCTCAGCGGCTTTTGATACCATCAACCATGGTATCATGCTGCACAGGCTGGGAGAGTTGGGAGTGGGAGGCACTGTGTTGCGGTGGTTCTCCTCCTTTCTCTCTGACCGGTCGCAATCTGTGTTGGCAGGGGGGCAGAGGTCGACCTCGAGGCCTCTCATCTGTGAAGTGCCACAGGGATCGGTCCTCTCGCCCCTTCTGTTCAACATTTATGTGAAGCCGCTGGGTGAGATCATCCGTGGCTTTGGGGTGAGATACCACCAGTACGCTGTTGACACCCAGCTGTACATCTCCACCCCAGGCCAGCCCAACGATGCCCTTGAAGTGATGTCCCAGTGCCTGGAGGCTGTACGGATCTGGATGGGGAGGAACAGGCTCGAGCTCAACCCTTCCAAGACTGAATGGCTGTGGCTCCCGGCATCCCGATATAGTCAGTTGACTCCATCACTGACTATTGGGGGTGAGTCTTTGGCCCCCCTGAAAGGGCTCGCAATCTGGGAGTCCTCCTGGATAGGCAGCTGTCTTTGGAGGAGCATCTGACGGCTGTTACCAGGGGGACCTTTTATCAGGTTCGCCTGATTCGCCAGTTGCGGCCCTTTCTCGATTGGGATTCCTTGTGCACAGTCACTCACGCCCTCGTCACCTCTCGCCTTGACTACTGCAATGCTCTCTACATGGGGCTCCCCTTGAAGAGCACCCAGAGGCTCCAGCTGGTCCAGAATGCAGTAGCGCGGGTAGTGATGGGAGCAACATGGCGCTCCCATGTAACACCGCTCCTGTGCGAGCTGCACTGGCTCCCGGTGGTCTTCCGGGTGCGCTTCAAGGTGTTGGTTATCACCTTTAAAGCGCTCCATGGCATAGGGCCTAGCTATCTGCGAGACTGCCTGCTGCTACCGACGACCTCCCATCGACCCGTGCGCTCCCACAGAGAGGGCCTCCTTAGGGTGCCATCAGCCAAACAATGTAGGCTGGTGACCCCCAGGGGGAGGGCCTTCTCGGTGGGGGCTCCCACCCTCTGGAATCAGTTGCCCCCGGAGATAAGGAGAATCCATGACCTCAATGCCTTCCGTCGTTCCCTGAAAACCCATCTTTTCCAGCAAGCCGGGGTGGCTTAAGAAGAAATTTTTAAATTCTTTTAATCAGTCTGTGATTTTTTAACTTTCGGGCCAAAATTTATATATATTTTTAAATGTTTTTTTAATATTTGTATTCTGTGTTTTTTATCTTGGCTGTACACCGCCCTGAGTCCTCAGGGAGAAGGGCGGTATATAAATTGGAAATTAAATTAAATTAAATTAAATTATAAAAACATTTAAAAATTAAAACGTTAAAACCCTATTTCAGCATCACATAGGATTATATCAGTATTATATACTCCCATAAGGATATTATCAGACGTATATGAAGCAGTGCATAAATTTCAATACTGAATAGTGAAATGTGTACCATTTACACTAAAAAAGGTTATTTTTTTCAGATAGATAGTTCTTGGGCTATAATGGCAATTGGAATAAAAATTACCATTGCTAAGCGATGCAGTTATAAAGGGTGACATCAATCCCAGGACACATGGGTCATTAAGCAGAAGTGGGTGTCCCAGGAAAAGGTGCCATAAGGGCTTACTGTGGGTGGTGCCAGGGAACACAGGTGCGTCAGGGGCCATGAGTGGGTCACTTGAGGCTATGGAGGAGCTGTGATGTGGAGTGCAGATGGGCAAGGGGTGCTACTGAGTATGAGATCCCTTCTCTTTGGGAGAAAACTACAGTGGGGAGCAACTTAATTGTGGTAACTTGTGACTTACCCTGCTGACTTCTCCATTGACTTTGCTTGTCTGAAGCCTGCAGGATAAATTGCAAATGGCAATTTTGTGAGTGGCTCACTGCAATGTCAGTCATGAATTGGGCACCTGTGGGGGCACTGCAACAACCAGAACTAGGATAATTGTTAAGTCCATTTTTTTTCAGTGCCACTGTAACTTTGAACAGTCTGGGGGAAAAAATTATATAGGCTGAGTACTATATGTACTTGAAAATGATGCCAGGGATAGAGAATCATGGCACTGCTTACTATCTTTTTCTGTTGCAGCACACCCTGAATGTCTGAAAAAACTGCATCTCCTAGGAACTATACAATTATGTGTATTTGTGTTATCTCAAATATGCAAGGGTTAGCATTTAAAAGATAAGAAGCAGTAGCTACAGCTGTGCTTCTTTCAGTATGCTAAACCATTAAATTGTTACTTACTCTTAATTTTTCTTGCAAGTTTTCCTTTTCATTCTTCATTTGCTGAAGACTCTTTAAATCTTTGATAAACTGAACTGCGTTCTTGAGACAGGATATTTTTTCTTTTAGTTTGCTGTGTTCTTTCTTTAGTTTCTTCAGTTCTGGTTCATTTCTAGCAAAAATAAATGTTGAGCATTATATTTTGATAAGATTTCCTTTTATTTTACAGAAAACTGTTTACATAACTGAATCTAAAGGAGCAAGAGCGATAAGCTAAACTATCACACAGCAAGAGGGTAATCGGTTCTTGATTCAGACCTGAAAAAAATAAGGGGGTGCATCAACTGTTACTGCATCAATATGAAATCTAATTGGAAACCCACTTCATAAGCCAGGGTGGCAACTCTTTGGTACTCATTTTTTTTCCTCTTCATTAGTTGAAAAACATAGGACTGTCTTGGTGACACTGGAAGGGCAGGACAGAGGTTTTGGGTCTTTTGCAGTGTGAGATTTCATATTTTAGCAGTGCAATTTCAGTTATTTGGGTGCATGTGTGGAATTTGAACTTTATTTATTTATTTAGCATATGGCATGTGTTAGCCAGGGATCACTGAGGTGGCTGCCTGCCGCTGTGAAATGAATTTCAGTGTTATCTTTACCCATGGGACACCTGAATGCCAGTAGGCAATCGGGGGAGGCTCCTTTCTTGTCCCTTCTGTAGTTTATTCGCTCACAGGAATCAAACTGCTGAACTGCCGACCTCAGCGGTGCGCAGGCCCAGTGTCTTACCACGTGAGCCAACGCGGCCCCTATTTATCTCTCTGAGAATTATTTTTATGTTTGTGTTAATTTTTGAAAGCAAAAAGAAAAGAAAATACTGCTTATGATTCACTAGTCTTTTGTTTTCAATGTTATGGCACAGATACTTGTAAGCAGTATCTCTGCTATATGAAATTAGTCTTCAGTTTCATTTTTCATCCAGTCAAAATCACAGCAAGAGTTTGCAGCACACGCTAATTTCAACATGCATTTAGGAAGATTATTATGATTATAGTTTAAGGGATAATCTAGGGTTCTTGGCAAATTCAAGATATGTAGGCTTCAACTCTCAGAATTCTGATAGGAGCAATCTGATAGATTCTCTAGTCAATATGCAAAATGCTGCATAGACCTATTATTTATTTATTTAATTAATTTTTATACCGCCCCCTCTCCCGAAGGGCTCGGGGCGGTGAACAGCCAAAATTAAAAAACGTGCAATATAAACATTAAAATAGTATAAAACAAAATTAAATTTATCTTTGGCTTCCCCCAATTTAAAACCCCTTACCCATAAAATTCACCAATTAATTTTTTTTTTTTTTAACCCAGCCCAGCTTGCTGAAATAAAAAAGTCTTCAGGGCCCGGCGGAAGGTCCGGAGGTCCGGGATCAGTCGTATCCCTGGGGGGTAGCTCATTCCAGAGGGCGGATGCCCCCACAGAGAAGGCTCTTCCCTGGGGGGTCGCCAGCCGACATTGCCTGACCGACAGCACCCTGAGGAGGCCCTCTCTGTGGGAACGTATTGGCCGATGGGAGGTTATCGGTGGCAGAAGGTGGTCTCGTAAATAACCGGGCCCTAAGCCATGGAGCGCTTTGAAGATGAGAACAATACCTTGAAGCGCACCCGGAAGACCACTGGAAGCCAATGCAGCTCGTGCAGGAGAGGTGTCACATGGGAGTGCCATGTTGCCCCCATAAGTACCCGCGCGGCCGCATTCTGCACCAGTTGAGCCTCCGAGTGCTCCTCAAGGGGAGCCCCATGTAGAGAACGTTGCAGTAGTCCAGGCAGGAAGTGACGAGGGCATGAGTGACCATGCATAAGGAGTCCCGATCCAGAAAGGGGCGCAACTGGCGTATCAGGCGAACCTGATAGAAAGTCCCCCTGGCCACAGCCATCAATGCTCTTCTAAAGACAGCCGTGCATGCAGGAGGACACCCAAGTTACGCGCCCTCTCCGTGGGGGCCAATGTCTCACCCCCAATAGTCAGCGATGGCACTAGCTGACTATATCGGGACGCCGGCAACCACAGCCACTCAGTCTTGGAAGGGTTGAGTCGGAGCCTGTTCCTCCCCATCCTTCAGGCACCGGGACATCACTTCAAGGGCATCGTTGGGGTGGTCTGGGGTGGAGATGTACAGCTGGGTGTCATCAGGTACAGATGGAACTGCACCCCAAAACCACGGATGATCTCGCCCAGCGGCTTCACATAAATGTTGAACAGGAGAGGCGAGAGGACCGACCCTTGCGGCACCCCACAAACCAGGTGCCTGGTTTAGGAATGATTGAGGTAAAAGATGCCAACTACTTACCTATTTCAAAAAGCGGGTTAATAAAGTAAATATATTCTTAGATAAATATTGTTATTTTATACTTAAAAAATAATGGAAAAAAATCTAGAAATAATATTGCAATGGAAAGGAATGAATCTTGCCAGATTCCGTTTGAAACTTATTTGGAGGAAGCATCTGGAATTTAGTTAATGCTCCTCTTTTAGTTTTGAAAAAATCTTTACCATATTCCTAAATGTATAGCTTCCGTTCTCTGATGCATTTGATTTGGAGCAGCATAGTTGCTATAGGACATCTGAAATAAATATCAGTCAGTTGGAACTTTAAGTATATATTTTTAGCAAAACTATCAGTACTGATATCCGTACTGGGTCAGGGAAAAATGAATATATCACTGGATTGGCACAAAGCAGGATTTTAGGATTCAGTGATAACTATCTAAAACTTAATTGCAAAGTTATTACAACATACCTAAATAGTTCTCCTTTAATTTCTATTAAACGTTGTCTTGTCTTATTTGTCTTTCTGATGATCTGTAATGCCAGAAAATAAATATTAAGTATGAAAATCCTTAATACTTTATCACTGCCATTACTTCTTTACAGGCAATTCTTGACTTACGACTGGTCACTTAAGTCATACATTAAAAGTTTCAGCAGACCTACTAAGGGTTCTTATGATGCGAATTCTACGTTCCGATGGTTCCTCGCAGTCATGTGACTGCACTTCGGGAGCTCAGTAACCAGCCCACGTTTACAGCCATTTTCAGCATCCCCTGATCAAGTGATCATGTTTTTAAACGATTTTGCCAAAAACTGCATTTATTTTTAGTTTTCAGCAAAACTGCACCCATAGTAAACCACTGGTTCACTTTACACCTGCAAAAAAGTTTGTAAAATTGGATCAGTCATGCTTTACGACTGTGATGGGCAGGATTCATTACAGTCGTATGTCAAGGACTACCTATATAGACATACTGCTTATTATAAAATTTAATCCAATTTAGAATCTTGTGAAGAAGCAAGAAATATTTGGAACGTAATTTCAATACTCTTCCTCAATCAACTGCAGGTAGCCTTACCACTGAAAATCCCTTCATCTATAATTTAACTGCTTATTTAATGAGGATGAGATTATTTATTTAAAATATTTATATCCTGTCTAATAATAAGATTGCAACCTACATGTACATAGTTCTAAATGTAATAAAATGCACATTGTGCTTAACACAGAATACAAAGGCAAAGCCATAGATAGCAACAGTTAAATTGATCAACTTTATTAAAAATCACTAATAGTAGTATTCCTCAAAATATTCGCACTGAAACTGAGAAAGATTATTGATAAACACTAAATGTTTTTTTTTCTAGCTAGAATATTTCAAAACCTAAGTGTGACCATTGGGTGAAAAATATCTCTTTCTGGAGTCAACAGAATTTTACAACACGTAAGTACAGGTAGTCCTCAACCTACAACAACTCATTTATTGACCATTTGAAGTTATAATGGCACTGAAAAAAGTGACTTAATGACTGTTTTTCACACACTTATCCAAGAGCCGTGGTAGCACAGTGGTTACAATGAAGTATTGTAGGCTAATTCTGCTAACTGCTAGCTGGCAGAGGTTTGGCAGTTCGAAACTCACCAGCTTAAGGTGGACTCAGCCTTCCATCATTCCGAGTTTGGTAAAAAGACGACCCAAATTCTTGGGGGCAATATGCTGACTTAAACTCCTTAGAGAGGGCTGTAAAGCACTGTGAAGCGGTATATAAGTCTAGACGCTATTGCTATCACACGATCAAAATTAAGATGCTTGGCAATTGACTCACATTTAGAAATGGCTACAGTGTGCCGGGGTCATGTGATCACTTTTACAACCTTCTGGCAAGCAAAGTCAATAGGGAAGCCAGATTCACTTAACAAGCTGTTACTAACAATTGCAGCGATTCACTTAACTGTGGCAAGAAAGGTCATAAAATCGGGCAAAACTACTTAACAAATGTCTCACTTAGCAACAGACACTTTGGGTTCAATTGTGATCATAAGTCAAGGACTACCTGTATACATATATAGAACTTAGTATGCATAAAACCTTCAATTTATATTTGTCAAACTCACAGACAGAATGTTTTCTATTCTAGCTCCTAATTTGAATTAATGAAATTTTATATTATTATTACATCCTATTTCTTTAAATATTGTCCACTAAAAGCTAGTTTTAATCTTTTGGAAGAAAATCTATACAGTTTAAAAGACAATACACCGGCTAGTTTACCTTTGTTTGATTCAGTTTTGTATTTTTCAGTTTCTCAGCATCTGCAGACTAGTTAAAACATTCAAAATTAAAGATATGGCATAACTTCTTAGTAAATAATTACAATAAATACAAGATATTTAAATTAGTAAAATTCACATTTTCTAATAACCAGAATTTAAAAAGCTTATTTAATTCAAGAAATAATAATTTTAAATGTTTTTGGATTTTTACATATACATATCTAATTTTATCCTTTTTCAGATTTTATATAAACGGGAATTAAAGTGATAGGACCCGGCTGGATATAATGTATAGGAGCAGAAGATAAGTGTGGGTAATTCAAAAAGAAAAAAATTGCAACTGACTTTTTTCATTGCCTAGTTTTTCTCCTTTCTGGATGCTTTCCAAATTTTCAATTTATTATTCTAACCTACACATATCCTGCACCAGTTTACATCATGGACTGTTTCCATGCCCAATGCCCTGCTGTATAAAATTCCTTAGCACTCTACTTGTCCCCTCTCCCAGATACATTTAATTTCTTCTAAAGAATATGTAGGTTATTTTGGTGATTAATTACCCCCGTAACATTTGCAAAATACATTATTTTCCCAATCAAAACCTGTACGTACAATGTCGGTGAATTGGTCTTTGAGCCTGGCATGAAATTTATCAATAACATTTTTATATTTCTCTTGTTCCACTTCTTCTCTGAAACAATATACACAATATATGATAAATCTATACTTAAATGAACACATTAAATTAATTTGTACATGAAGAGGTGAAAATTCTTGTCACTGTATTTTATCCTACTAATGGTTGATACATAAGACAGCAATGCCACATACCTAACATTTTCCTGTTTAAAAATATTATCATAACTTAAAATGCTAAAAAGTTTTCAATTATCATTCTTGGGTTTGCATTTTTGCTGCTAGTCAACATGTTTCCTACAATAATTCTGATATCACATAACTGCTGCTGCCTTCTGGGATTTTTTCCCCCCCAAATTTCCCAGCTTTCATGCAGTCCTGATATTCTTTGGCAGTCTCCTATCAAAGTAGTGACGAGGCCCAAGCCTGCTTAAACCCTGCTGAGCATCCAGGTGATGATAAAAATTATTATCTTAAATCTGACAATTTTCTATGATGCATATTTTTTCAGAAAAAAGCTATTATTTAAAACAAAGTAATTCTTTTATTATGCTTTTACAATATCTCCAAACAGTCCAACAGCACCAATTCCAATTTTAAAAAGTAAAAAAGCAGATTGAATTATAAATTACATTTAATATCATAGCAAAATTCTCAGTCATAAGGAAATTCTCAATCATAAGAAAAAATGCTTACTTGTATTCTGTTGTTATCTTTTCAAACTCCTTCAAAACAACTTTTTCCTTGGTAACACATCTGGTAACTTTTGTTGGCTGCTTTGGAACTTTTTTTGAAACTAAATGAAGTGAAAAACAGTATTAATACATTTGGTTATTATGGGCCCAAGCCTATCTAAGCTTCTCAAAGATACACAATTTAAATTGATGCATATGAAATGCTAAATCCTACAATTTTACTCAGTTACTATAAAAATCAAGATCAGCAGGTCTGGTACTAAACACAGAAGTGACAAACCATTCTAATGCTGTGGAGAAAGGAAAAATGATTTACCTGGACAGTTTGTCTCCTTTTCTGGTAAAACATTCTTATTTACATCGGATTGAGTCTTTTTCTTGGGTATCTATTGGATCAAAGTTAAGGAATATATTAGTTGATAGCAACCTATGTTATTGAAATGTGTTGGATATTAGTAGCTGGGTTGCCAAGCTTGGAACTCAAGCCAACATACCTGTGTTATTTCATTTTCAATAAACTTTGTCAAACTTAGTCAAACTATAAACTTTATCTAGATGTACACCGCTTAAAATTTTAGTAAATTCTCATAACACCTATAGTAAATTCAAGGAATACACTATCAGAGTACACTTATATACTTCTTTGCAACAACACCCCATTAACTTTGAATACTCTATAGCTGCACTGCAGCAAAAATAAATTGAAAACAATTTTTTTTTTACAACTAGTGGACTCTTTTAATGATAATATGGTTTTTAATAATCAGCCTGAAGTATGTGCTTTGCTTCATTTCTATAATAGTTTTATAACTGATATGTGACAAAGACTATTTTTTTATAAAAAACATTTAAAGATATATTAACAAAACATTAAAATAAATTACATAAGGCTTCTCCTAGAAAGTATAAAGTTTCTAAGAAATTATATATAATTATATAATGGTAATTATTAGGAATTCATATGCTGAAATAAAGGTAAAGACATATTACTAAAATAATATTAAAGGATTCTTCAAGAATCTTTGTTTTGTCTATTTTTTAATCAACGTGATTTCCTAAATCAATTAGCTGCTAACAAATATTATTTTCCTGGGATATGTAAAATGTTGCAAGACCCAGTTTTTTCATATTATCTGCCAGATTGCTAAAAAAAACATGCTGGAAAACTAAATTGTTTTTCAACTAATGGTATTTAAAATAGAATTTATAATTTGTATAAATTATAAATGTATACAAATTATAAATTGCTTTTAATATATCTTTTAATATATATTGCTTTTAATGTATCTTTCAAGTATTTCTTACTGATCATACAGTTTGAAGATTTCTGTAATGTATGTAAATTTTATTGACGTGTTGAAAATTATTTCGGAATTATTTTAATCATTTTTACATATTCACTAATGCAGTCAATTTCTATTAGTATAAGAAAAACTCTTCAAGTTATATGAAATGTGTACAAAATATGCAGAAAATCAGGCAGAAGAAATTAATGATATAACAGGAACTTCATGTTATCAGTGCTTACAATTCATTATAACCAAACTGAACTTTTTAAAGTACTTATCTCCATTCAGCACATAAACGTAAGTAACCTATACAATAGCATACTGATTACATAGCATACTAAATACTAATTACATTATTACTAATGACACTTGTACGATAGACACTGTAACAAAGTTACAACTCATAATTCAATTCAGATTCATAATTAAAGACCTATGGCTATCAGCTCATAAAAACTATTTTATCATTCATGGATAAACAATAACAGAAAAAGTAAAAAAATAACCAAAAAAGCTTCTTCCAACATGTTAAAAACAAGAAAAAAGTCAAGGAAACAATTGGTCCATTGCTGGGAGAAAGTGGACAGAAGGTGACAAACATAGGGAGAAAGCAGAACTACTTAACTCGTTCTTTGCAACTGTCTTTACACAAAGGGGCAAAAAAGCACAAAAAACAGATTAAGAACACAAGTTAAAATAGGGAAGAAAATGGTAAGTGTGCACCATCTAGACAAGTTCAAATCACCAAGACCAGATGGATTACACCCCAAGATTCTGAAAGAACTGGCAGACAAGATCTCAGAACCACTGAACTATATCTTTCAAAGATCCTGGAGCACCGGGTAACTGCCAGAGGACTGGAAAAGAGCTGATGTAGGTCCCATCTTTAAAAAAGGAAAAAAAATAGATCCAGGAAACTACAGACCTATCAGCCTGACCTCAATACCAGGGAAGATTCTGGAAAAGATAATCAATGAATCAGCGAACACCTAGAAGCAAACAAAGTAATAACCAAAAGCCAACATGGGTTTCTCAAAAACAGATCATGCCAGATTAATCTTATTGCATTCTTGGACAAAGTGACAAAATTAGTGGACCAGAGGAATGCTCTGAGGCATTTGATAAAGTAGACCATAACCTACTACTAAATAAAATAGAAAAATGTGACAGCATCACTACCAGATGGATTCGTAACTGGCTGACCAACCGCATTCAATGTGTAGTCCTCAACGGAACTGCATCTACATGGAGGGAAGTATGCAGTGGGGTACCCCAAGACTCTGTTTAGATTCAGTACTCTTCAACACCTTCCTCAATGATTTGGACGACGGGATAGATGGGGAACTCATCAAATTTGCAGACAACACCAAGCTAGCAGGAATAGCCAACACTCCAGAAGATAGGCTTAAGATACAGAAGGATCTTGACAGACTTGAACATTGGGCGCTATCTTAACAAAATGAAATTCAATGGTGAAAAAAGTAAGGTTCTACATTTAGGGAAGAAAAACAAAATGCATAGGTACAGTATATGTGGTACCTCACTCAATAGTAGTAACTGTGAGAGGGATCTTGAAGTCCTAGTGGACAACCATTTAAATATGAGCCAGCAGTGTGAAGCAGCTGCCAAAAAAGCCAACACAGTTCTAGGCTGCATAAACAGAGGGATAGAATCAAGATCACGTGAAGTGTTAATACCACTTTATAATTTTTGATAAGGCCACACTTGGAATACTGCATCCAGTTTTGGTTGCCACGATGTAAAAATGATGTGGAGACTCTAGAAAGAGTGCAGAGAAGAGCAACAAAGATGATTAGGGGACTGGAGACTAAAACATATGAAGAACGGCTGCAGGAACTGGGTTATGTCTAGTTTAATGAAAAGAAGGACCAGGGGAGACATGATAGCAGTGTTCCAATATCTCAGGGCTGCCACAAAAAAGAGGGAGTCAAGCTATTCTCCAAAGCATCTGAGGGTAGGACAAGAAGCAATGGGTGGAAACTAATCAAGGAGAGAAGCAACCTAAAACTAAGGAGAAATTTCTTAGTTTAGTTTACTAATCAGTGGAACAACTTGCCTCCAGAAGTTGTGAATGGTCCAACACTGGAAGTTTTAAAGAAGATATTGGATTTGTCTGAAGTGATGTAGGGTTTCCTGCCTAAGCAGGGGGTTGGACTATAAGACCTCCAAGGTCCCTTCCAATTCTGTTATTCTGTTTTTTTGATTCAGGAAAAATATGAGACCATTGAGATTAGGACTATCAGGATAAGTGAACATTAAAAAAAAGAGATAGACTGTAAGGAAATGGTACATAATACCACATACAGTCAACAAATGACATTATAGATAATATTTCACTGCAGGGCATCTACCAGATTTTTGAGAATAAAAAAGTGAGTATATTTAAGAAAAACTTAATTACCAAAATAACAAATTACAAGAAATTTCAACTTAAAATGATGAAATCAGTTTTGCTTGTGGTTTTGAGTCATATAATTTTAAATGTACCATTTATGTACCAATTATGTACCATTGAAAATTATTGTAAATATTTATATAAATGTAAATATTTATATGTTTCAAAAAATCTGCCTATAATAGATTGTATTTTACCACCAATAAAATGGAAAAAGTATTATCTAAATCTTTTACTTACCATGTTCTTTACTGAAGGTTCCTCTTCTGAATCTTCAGTTCTCACTATTGTTTTCAGAGTGTTAGCTTTTCTGGTAAATATAAAAATGTTACCGTATATTTTGTCATGGAATTTTAAACACTGGCATGGAAACTTGTTAGAATCTTTTTTGCAGTATTATATTGACTAAATAATTTCACTGATGGGCCAAAGAGATTCTTATATTATTGCCAGATAAAGATTTACAGTTAAAAATAGCAAGGAGTAAGCAACATAATTAGTATTGTTAAAGTATGGAAATTCAATGGTACATATGTCATTCTGAAAAAAGAAAATATGGCCACAAATGTGCATTCATCAGGGATTGTTTAGTTGTATTGAACAAGCAAGTATAGAAGTACATTATGAATGGTAAAGGTTGGATTACATGGCAATTAGACTCAACTGGCAGACATACCTTTCCAGCCAATTATATCCTTACCAGGAACACCAATCTACAACATTGCCAAATAACTAACAAATGAACTTGTACACTTCACAGAAGGAAGTAAACTCTCTATCAAATCCTTATAGTGCCTCCAAAGGATTAAAGACCTGACCATAGATGAAGATGAAATCATGGCCTCATTTGATATTACAGCACTCTTTATAGACTCAAACCTAGCAAAAAGAAACCATGACAGCACACTGGACCTAATCAAGTACACCAAGATTGAAATACCCAGAATCGTGATCCTTATCAATCTTTGTCTAACAACATACTTTCAGTTTCATGGACAAATATATCAACTGAAATTTAAGAAAATATTTATGCTAATGAAAGATGTGCAAGCCCTTACAAAACTTGGACCCTGTCATACTTGAAAAGTATAACAACAAATGTTTTAAAGAAAAAGCAATACATTTGGAACATACAGAGAAGCAACGATTATAAAGAAAACATGTTGCTAAGAAGTCTTAGCTATGTGGAGACCAAACTCGAAGCTGATTCAAAAGCACCAAAAGCACCAAAAATAAAGAATATACCTGATTCTTTAACTGATATTTGTACTTTACTAGAAATTTTAGATTGAAGTATTGGATGTGCTCAAAATATCCCTTCTTTATTTGGATGACATAGTTTCAATGAAGTTATGTAACTAGATTAAGTTAACAGGGCTGAATATACTAATGTATTCATGTACACATAGAAAATTGATCCAGAGAAAATATTACACACAAAATAATGTTTTGAACTTATTTTTGGAATACCTTTTCTTTGTATTTTTCTTTGGGGGCTCTGGATCAAAGGAACTGCTGGTAGACTCATTGATTGTTAAATACTGATCGTTCCCATTATCAGCCTCTTCTCCCTCTTCATACACAGACAGAGCAGTACTATGTAAAGGATGATCTAGGATGAAAAAGTACTAATTACTTATAATAATTTAATAATTTTTCACAACAGAAAATCTCAAAACAATCGTTTTTGTGTGAAATGGATGAAGCAATTTTATTCAAGAGGAAGATATTAGGAAGAGTAATGAAAAAACACCCAGATGCAATAAGCCTTGTATAAAAGAGTTCGGTAACTATAGTTCCTTGAAGCAATCACACAGAACAAGTTACCATGAAAGGTTGATATCCCACCTTAATTATTCTAGAGTTCTAACCTAGTTTGGTCCACTAGACATTGAGCCAGTAGCAATGCTGGTCATGTGAAAGTGAGAATAGAATTTTTATCCCTCGGTGTAATATACCTGGTTTAGCTGGAAGGATTTAAGAGTAGGACAAATTAATGGACGAAAATGTTTATGCTAATGAAATGTGCAAGTCCTTACAAAACTTGGACCCAGAGTGTGTGCTGGATTAAAGCAAACAAAAACTTTATCAGTAAAAAGTATTGCTAATATGAACATTTTACAGAGGATAGTCTCAAGGCGCGATGGGTGGCAAATAAATTTAAGCAACAATAACAAAAAAAGGTGGTATCTGCCATGCCTGTTTCTGTGAACCGGGACTATGGAATTGCATAAGGGAAGGGAATAGGTTCAGGAAATTGCTATTCAGTCCTGCATTCACACAAGAATTCCAGAAACTAGAGCTGTTTATAGCCAACAAAGTTTTCAAAAGGGAGAGATGTTCCTGGGCTTTGTAACTTCTATCGACAGCTCATCCCCTCGTTCGCGAAGATTGCCTTACCGATTACTAACCTCCTGAAAACAAAGGGAGAGGCGAAGCCAAAACCTTCCCAGCCTCTCGAGTGGACTATGGAATGCCAGGCGGCCTTTGAAAAACTGAAACGACTGTTTGCCGCTGAACCAGTCCTTAAACACCCTGACATGGAGGCCCCGTTTGTCGTCCAGACCGACGCCAGCGATGTGGATGTTGGGGCAGTGTTACTTCAAGCCAATGTCAAGGGAAATTTACAACTCTGTGCCTATGCCTCTCGGAAATTATCTGAAACCGAGAGGAAATGGGGTATCTGGGAGAAGGAGGCTTTCGCTGTTTGCTGCTAACATGGAGGCACTTCCTGGAAGGGGCGAAGCACCCTTTTGAGGTGTGGACTGATCACAAAAACTTAGAGGCCCTAAAAATGCCCCGGAAGTTGTCACCTAAGCAAGACCGCTGGGCCCAACACTTTAACCGCTTTAATTTCTCTCTGCGCTACCTTCCTGGGGGAAAGAACTTTATGGCAAATGCTCTTTTGAGACTACCTCAATACAATAGTGCTCAGGTGAAAGTGATTTGCCCGGTTGTCCCCTCGAAACAGCTGGCTGCTCCAGTAGTTACCAGAGCTCAGGCAAAAGGGGACCTAACCTTGTCCAGCGACTTCATCCTGTGTTTCACGTTAGTTTATTGAAACCCGAGCATACTTCCCCCCTGCGTCAGGACCAAGAACCTTCTCCTGTCCCCATACTCATCGAAAGAGAACAGCATTTTGAGATTAAAGAGATATTGGACTCTAGGAAACATCAAGGGAAGGTGCAGTACTTGGTGGTCTGGAAACATTTCCCATGAGCTCAATCTGAATGGGTAAATGAGCGAGATGTTAGAGCTCCGAGGCAGCTGCAATTGTTTTATTCCAAATATCCTGATAAACCTTAGTTACGGGACTATACATATGTTACCTGTTTATGTGATTTTCTATATTCCCTTTATTCTGTTCTCTTTCTAGGACTAACGTCTCTTCTGCAAGAGGGCCGAATGTTAGCCTCTGCTTCTATATTGCTTGCTTGCTACGGCTGCCATTGTAATGGGGGGAGGGGGGAGCTGTCTGGGTAGTTGGGAGGGGGGAACCGAGCTGGTGGTGATGTCTCATAACAGGGAGTGAATTGGAGAAAGTTTTCTCTGCAGCTGGAAGGCGTGTTGATAACCAGTCAAGGTCAACCGTCCTGGAATACCAGAACAATGGAGCCATCTGAAGCTGCACCCCACATGACACCTTGAGGGGATGTGGATTGGATAATCCAGACTGGACCCTTGGGGGGAGAGTTTTGAGGATGCTTTCTATATGTGATTTTCGGACCTATTGCATCAGACCTTGCTTTTCTTTGGTTGCATTCAGTTCATACTCAGTAAAAGTACCTTTCTCTATGAAAATGGAGTCGGGGTTTTTCTTTCTTGAGTTGTGAAACATTTGGATATATTATTTAAAATTCTGTTGTAAAACACATGAATTTATTTTATTATTCAATTGTTTATTAATGCTAAAGCTAATCCAGATGCTGTAGCTATCTTAGTAGGACTCTATAGCTGATCTTTCTGTATCCATACAATTAAATAAGTATATTTATAAAAATATACTAGACATTATAATATACATGTATGTATATTTGTATTTATTTAACTTGCTTATTGGAAATGTGACACAATCATATTTTTATTCTGCATTTACTCAATACATTCCAGAACAATTACTATCTACAAATTGAGGTTGAGAACAATATCTTATTAATATTTATTTATTACAATTATTTTTATATTACCAGCTCAGCATAACTCCTGGTCACTTACAGTAAATATAAAATCCAACATCAGTAAACAAAAATAATAATTCAGAGTGCAGATGGCTACCAGATGTGCCAATCAGAAAGCAGACAATTCTAATAACTATGTAGGAACGTCTTTAAAATGTTATAGACAATAACTAACCAAATAAGTCATCAGTTTCCTCTGTTAGCCCGGTTCCCGGAATTTTCAAAATTCTTGAGATATCAGGCTCCTCAGATGAAAACAATTTACCATGAGAGGCCTGCTTGGCCTGACATCCCTGCAAGGAAAGCAGATTATTTATTTATTCAAATTATATGCTACCCATTTCATCTGCAGGCAACTCTAGGCAATTATTTAAAAAATGATTAAAACATGAAAGCATCAAACCAATAGTAATATTAAATTAGCTTAACATTCACAAAGATGGAGAGAAGGGAGCAGGATGCATGGGGTGTGTGTGTCTTATCATGGTCTGTTAACCACCTCAAGAATGATGTGTCCCCATTGGGCCTCAATGCCAGTTAGCACAGCCAAGTCTAGAAATCCTTTTGGAAGGCCAAAAGGGTGGATTTGGATCTCACCTCAGAGGTCATGATGTTACAAAGGCTAGGAACCACAGCAGAAAAGGCTTTTCCTGGCTGCAGTCAGAATTCCTTGATTGATAGGGTTTGCAACATTCCCCTTCTATTGGAACAGGTGGGTGAGACAATCCCATTGGGGTAAGATGGTTTTTTTAGGCAACCTGGATCCATGCCATGAAGGGCTTTAAAGTGATAACCAACATCTTGAACTGAACCTAGAAGCAAACTGGCAACTGGTGATACAGGCCACCCTAGGGTCCCCAAGAATTGTTTACAAGAATGCATTCTGTGCCAACTGTAGCTTCCAAATACTCTTCAAATAGCTCCATGTACAGCATATTGCAAGAATCCAAGTGTGAGATGACCAGGGCTTGAGTGACTAAACACAGGAACTTCCAAACCAGGAAAGGACCTGCTGGCACACAACCCAAAGTTGCACAAAGACTCTCATAGCCACTACTGTCACCTGCTCTTTGAGTAGTCGTTGCAAATCTAGGAGAACTCACAAGTTGTGCACTGGGTCTGTCTGGGGTAATTTAGCCCCATCCAAAACAAAAGATGTTAATTAAAGTCATGGATTTCAAAAGCTTCATGCACCTATGGATTAGCATGGCAATGTTAAAAAACACATTATCTAAGCTCTTCAGAAAGTTAAATATTTAAGAGATTATTACAAATAAGTAATAAATGCAAATTAAATTAAGAAAAAATTATCAGGGCTATATGTAATACTACCATCTAGAGCTATGCACACAGCACCTACTAATATTTTAAAGCTGCTGTATCTATTCCTGAAATCATAGAGCTTTTTAATTTTCTTTAATATTATTTTGTAGTTGTACAAGTTTCACTTGTTTAATATAATCCCTAATAAAATTATTGGAAATTATTTAATTATTTAAAAAAAACATGGAGTTTTCTATAGCTGCTGTATAATCCCAGAAAGACATGTGATTGCAAATGTTCACATTCCAATTTGAAGATAGAGTACTAAGTAGCGAACAGCCCTACTTCAACTACGGCATAAAAATTTATGATCTAATGTATTATGTTTAAAAGGTCATAGCAAAACTAAATGGCTCAAGAAGTAAATAAACTTTATAGAATTTATACACCCAAATCAATTCAACATTCTGCATTAAAAAGAAGAGGTAAATAGCTATTCACACTTTAAAACAAAATGCCACTTACTGCCAATTTCTTTTTGAAATTTTTTGTTGCTTTTCTCTTTGACATCTTGTTACTAGAGAAACAAACAAGAGGAAAATAAGCTTAAATGGAATTAACCCTCTTTTCTTCTTTTACATGTCCTACCTGTCAATGACTACTTCAGCTTCAACCACAACAATACAGGAACACACAATAGATACAAACTTAAAATAAATCGCTCCAAACTCGATTGAAGAAAATATGACTTCAGCAACAGAGTGGTCAATGCCTGGAATGCACTATCTGACTCTGTGGTTTCATTCCAAAACCCCCAAAATTTTAATCTTAGACTGTCTAGTGTTGACCTCACCCCATTCCTAAGAGGTCTGTAAGGGCACATAAGCACACTAATGTGCCTATCGTCCCTTTCCTAATGTTCCTTTTATTTGTATCCATTTCATGTATTCAAATCATGTTTATACTTACGTATGTTATCTAATATGTGCTTGACAAAATAAAATAAATAAATAAATAAAAATAAATATATTCATGAATCTTCAAATTGTATCACTATAAAATCTTTATTCCAGGCTTTAACCTTGTCCAAAAGCAAGCTCCCAAATTAACTTGGCTATGTCCAAAGCAACCTCTAAGTTAAGCCTGGCCGGGCAAAAGGCTAGGCCAGGTGCCCTATTCTTACCTATACCCATTCAAACCCTTTAATGGAAAAAGAAAGAGAAGCATGCATTCCCAAGGCACCAACCCAGATGATTTTCACCTAAACTTCAAAGGCGTGGGTGGACTCAGTTAAAGTAGGGATTTTGCTTTGAATTGACCCACCTCTCTCCCTGAACCAAGAAAAGCAAGAGGAGGAAAGCCCCACCATCCCAGAAGCCTAAATAGATGGCTTCCCCTACCATCAAGGGCTCCTGAAACAACCCTAGAAGGAGCCAGTTTGATCTAGTGCAGGGGTCTCCAATCTTGGCAACTTTAAGCCTGGTGGACTTCAACTCCCAGAATTCCCCAGCCAGCTTTGCTGGCTGGGGAATTCTGGGAATTGAAGTCCACCAGGCTTAAAGTTGCCAAGATTGGAGACCCCTGATCTAGTGGTTTAAAATGTGCTGGCCTAGGAAGCAGGCGACTGTGAGTTCCACGGTATCCCAGCAGCCCTAGGCATGGAAAAAAAAACAAACCCTGGGTGACTTTGGGCCGGTCACTTTGTTTCCGCTCAATCCACCTCACAGGGTTGTTGATGTTGTGGAGAAAATAGGAGGGAGGAATATTAAATATGGTCACCGCCTTGCATGACTTATAAAATAAACAGAAGAGGAATCAAATCAAATCAATGAAAAGCAGGCACGGCCCCTCGCCTCCGTCTCCCAAGTACCATTGACTCCTCTGTGAGGAGATTGGGGGTTCTTAAATTTGAATAGAATAGAATTCTTTATTGGTCAAGTGTGATTGGACACACAAGGAATTTGTCTCGGTGTACATAAAAGAAAAGATACATTCGTCAAGAATCATAAGGTACAACGCTTAATGATAATCATGGGGAACAAATAAGCAAGTTTATTTGAGAAATAAATATTTATGGATAATCCTTAAACAGCTCTGAACTTCCCGAAATGCTACGGCAGGAGTCGGGAGACCTCCTGCCCCTCCCCCCCCCCCCCCCCCCCCCCAGGCCCCCGCCCTCCTTCCTAAGGTTCCAAACCGCCCCGTCTCGTGAGGGGGAAAATAAACCGTGAGGGAGAGAGTGGGAGAAAAAAAAAACGCGCAGGCTCAACTTCCTGGCTGCAAACTGCTTTTTTTCCGCGCCAAAACTCAAAACTTACTGCCAGCACGTCCCATTGCGTACTCGGAAGGGAGGGGGGGAAATTGAGCTAAAGCCGTTCCTTATGACACCTGTAAATTACTTCTCACTATTCTATATAAAATTTCACAGTTCGCAAAGAGGGGAGAAAGAAAGTTAATAGTAGACTTTTTTTTTCCCCTGAAGGGATACCCCCTATTTTCTTTAGGAGATAGTTTAGTCCATTGTCTTGTGAGTTAAATTTTTAAAGCTTAACCCTTTTTACCACGCATAGCCGCAAGAATAAAGGAAGAGCGCCATCTAAAGGCCAGAGGATAGACAAGACGGATATTGCGAAGAAATTGTCCTGTAATTTTTACAGGCATTTATCTGCAAACTGGTAACATTGTACAGTACGGTAGCTGCTATGTGGCTTTGGAGACGGACTAGGAGAGGGAGGCATGTCAAGGAGTGGCATGGAGAACAGCCGAAATCTGTAGTTCTTCCACGTAAGCATTTTTTTCCTTATTCAAGAAAAACCTAGAAATGTATTGCAAACAAATACAGATACATCCAGATTGCTTATCTATTTAATTAAAAAAACATCCCCATGGTGCCTCATTTCAAATTTTAGACATCTGTAATGAAAAGACACTGGAAATCTGAATTATTCTAGTAGTTCTTATTTTTGTTCTATTAAACAGAAAAAGAAAATGTTGTTATCCAAAGTAAATAACTTGGTATGGAAATTTCTCCCCTCTTCCATGCAATTATATTTAGAATTTTACAGAAACTCTGAAAAATTTAACTATTTGTCTGTTTTCACTAGATCTATGAATTGTTTGGTTCTGGTTTAATGTTTTGTTTGAATCCACCCATTTTATTTATAATACATGGTTTATTAACATAGTATGTGAATCTAATGATCTTGGCTGTTTCAACAAAACCATGCTAGATTTTCTCCTAAACATAAGTTGCTCAAGTATCTTACCCTGAAGGATGATATCTAAAACACAAAAAGGCCAATTATAAGAATTCAGTACAGGAAATTTTTTACAGGATATTCTTTTTCAACCTGCAGATATTTCCTATCAAGTATACAGGTAATCCTCAATTTACGACCACAATCGAGCCCAAAATTTATTTGTTATTAAGTGAGAAATTTGTTAAGTGAGTTTGCTCCATTTTATGACTTTTCTGGCCACATTTGTTAAGTGAATCACTGCAGTTCTTAAATTATTAACACAATTGTTAAGTGAATCTGGTTTCCCCATTGACTTTGTCAGGTCACAAAAGGTGATCACATGACCCCAGGATACTGTCATGTCAGTCAGTTGTCAGATATCCAAATTTAAATCACGTGACCATAGGGATGCTGCACCAGTCATAAGTGTGAAAAATTGTCACACTTTTGTCACAATTTTCCGTGCCATTGTAACTTTGAATGGTCACTAAATGAACTATTGTAAGTGAAGGACTTTCTGTATTGCATTTCCTATTGCAATTGTTTTGTAGTATGAACCATTATGATGAACAAGGATTATAAAGAAGATATCGAATACAAATATACACACCCTTCCCAAACCATCTACATTTTCAGGCTGAAAGTGATTGACTGACCCAAGGTTGCCCTTTCATGCTTATGGCAGGACTAAAACTCAGTCTCCTTGTTGCTAGGCCAGCATCTTTACCATTACACTAAACTGGCTTATACTATCTTTGTCTTATATTCACATACAGTTTAGCTAAGCGCAGAGATGGAACTGTAATCCTGACTACAACTTCCTACACTTCTAGCCAATATGGAATTATGGAGTTATGCATCATCAATATCTATAATACATCCAAAAGTAGAGTTTCTCTATGCCTAAACTGATACTTCCATTTTACAAGATTTCCAAAACACAACAGACTTTTGCTAACATAAATAGAATTTATTGTAAATTATAAATCACCAATTTATACTCTTTGGATCATGGTTATTGATATTCACTCTTTGCTTAGAGCTCAATAGCAATTTTTAGTCATATAATATATTCAGTTACTCATTACTAAATAACTAATGATATATTGGGAAAGTATTGCCACGGCATTTCCAAACCTTCTTGATTCAACCATTCATATGCATTTAATACTAATATCCTTTTTCCTATTTTATAAATTTCCCATTTATCTGTTTCAAAACCTAATAAAAAATTAAAATACAAGACACATGAAGGTCCCCAGGTTCCCCACTTTGATTCAGTAAAACCGATACCGTTTTCCCCCAAATAAGAGATCCCTTGATAATAAACCCAATTGGACTTTTGAATGCATGGCAATAAGGCCAAGCGCTTATTTCAGGGTTCAAAAAAAATATAAGACAGGGTCTTATTTTCGAGGAAACACAGTACTTATGTGGCGGCATTAGTTCCTAATTCATACTGAATGAAATTAGAGAGGGGAATGGAATTGTAGTAGATTATTTATGTGCAATCAATCAGCCTTGTATGAATTCAAAATATGTGATACTACTGCTTAGTATGATTGGTGTAACCAAATAAGAATAGGCCCATATGCTGGCTGCGAGCTGAGAGACTCTCTGAAATTCACAATATACAAAGACTTGTGGACTTCAACTCCCAGAATAACCCAGTCAGCCTCTAAATAAATTGGGTGATTTAAATATTCTATTAATCCAAGCCCAAGTTTCAACAAACAACTCAGTTTCTAGGCTAAAAAGGGTCTTGTGCATTACCGCCTCTTGCCAAATTTTATTCAAAAGTTGTTGAAGAAACTTGTGTGGCAGCTAAATTATAAAATATTCTACCACAGGAGGGTGGAAATGAGACCATGAGAATATATAGTCTCAGCAATGCTCAGAAGTGTTAAAATGTTATAGTCATACCCTAATTAATATAGTGCTATTTAACAAGTTTTTGGGGTAAGATGTCTCCTTTTGTTCTGATGTCTAAAATTGAATGGAGGCAGAGCTATCTAACAATTCCTTACCATAAAAAAAACATCAATTCCATCATCTGAACTAAAAATATACATACATACATCTATGTACGTATGCATTAATGTTTAGCTGATTCTCTGCTGAATTGACTTTCTACATTATAAAGGCCTTGCTTTATTTGCCATAAGAGCTTTTGAATAAACTGAGTTTTTAACATCATGCATAATTTATATCAGCCATAATTACAGATACCGCTTCTAGAGAATAATGCTATTAAATACCATTAAAACATTACAAACCGGTTTCAAATGAGACATTAGAATGACAATAGCAACATTGCACTGCAATGTCCATCCCTTTTGTATGATTTTGTGATATGTCTATAAAAGAGGTAGGGTTTGTATTATGTCAGTACAACACTGAATATGTCGTATGCCCTCTACATATACCTTTGGGTATAATTGTTTACATTTTCTACAAGCAACAAGCTTGTATCTACCACTATAGAATTACTCCAGAAACAAACCTTTCACTAAAGAGTTGATTTCTTTCTGTTCCAGTAATAAACTATAGGTCAGTGGAATATTTTTTGTTCCTCTATGGAACTACTGTTATCCAAGTTCAAGTTTGCTAGTTTCTAAAAAAACTGTTAAGATGAACCTTTTCCAATATTAAGCTCTTGAGATGTATTTAGATTAAAAACTCTTCATTCCCACTGTCACAAGAATAAGGTTACTGCCTAGGAATAGTAGTCCACTGCCAAAAAGAGAAAGCTGGTTAAAATCAGGAAATTCTATTTTGCTAATATGTCAAAATTATTTTTTCATGATAAAGCTGTGTAGAAAACTATGATTTATTGGCTGATTTGCCTTTCTCTTGCTTCCTCTACCAACTGGGACATAAAATAGTCATAAAAGTCCAGACAAAAAGAATGGGAAACAAATAAGAATAATCAGACAATAATTCCTTTTTTCTTTTTAAGGAATGAGCGCACAGTGAGTTTTTTTAAATTGCAGTATAAAAACATTTACTCAAATTAAATGCAGAAATATTTATTTTGGCTTCCTTGTGGAGTTTTTTTTGGGTGGAAATTTTTGTTTATAAAATATAGAAATAGCCAACACCTAAGCAAACTTTTGAACTCCAATATAACAAGTGATTTAATACTTCAAGAATATGGGTTTGAATAATGGTGTGCAATAAGGTCACCCATGTATGAAATTATGCAACTGGGTAGTGCATTATAATCACACACTTTTTAGTGCAAACTTCATTGTGCTTGTTTACATATATTTAACAAATTAATTACTGTTTTAAGGGAAAACTTGAGCATGGGTTACTACAAGGCATTTCAATTCCATCCATCCCTCAGAAAAATATACAGATGCAGGTAAAAGGTAGGTATGTTCAAACATCCTTCCTCATTCCAATATATATGCTACAGCCATTGCCTGTCTATTACAGAAGCATATTTATTTTTAGATGCTATCAAATTCTCAATATTCTTTGCTCAATGAGTAAGAAGCAGAAACTAACTTTGTACAAAGACCCAGTAAATTAAGTGATCAAGATTAAGCTGTACTACTGCTGAGGCAATCTAATGGTTGGCAATGTATGAGCATGACTTAATCCCAATACGTATTGAAATTCCATCCACATCCATGCGTATTTTATAACATGATGCCACTATGGCCCAACTATCCCTGTAACTCATGAAGCTGACATCTTGAATTACATAGGAAGTTTCATCTGGAGACCCCCGTCCCCCAAATTCTAAAGCTAAAATATCTGATCATTTATCTTGTGGTTCATTGCATTAATACCACAACATTAAATAAAGCTTTGAAAAAGTCTGTAAATAACCTAGGCAGCTGAGATTCTTCCCAAATTTTACACCCAGACACAAATAAAGTTCAGTCTCCTATCAGTGTTCCTCTGCTGTGAGTCAGTAAAAATCTCCATATATCAAATATTTTGGAAAATGATTACCAGCTGTACAATGTAATAAAAACAATGAATGTGGTAGCAACACACATATCCCTTTACATGCCTTGAGAGTCACATTTTTGGCTGAAGTCTTAAATAACTTACAAATCACATAGATAACATATACAGTTTTAAGGCGCATTGAGGAAGTTGTATGTCATTGTAAAAAATGGTCTGCGACACAAGTGGACAGTAAGGCAGAGTTCAATTATTCTTCAATTTTCCTATGTTGAGTACCCCTTTGTGTAGAAGTTAATGATTGCACTGTTCCTTCCACTTATTTGTTGTAGTCTGTTCATAGATATGATGGTTAATAGCAAATGCCATTCTCTCTAATAGTTTTCTTCGGTTACATGTGGACATTAGCATAGAGTTCTTCTATTTGAGAGCTGAAGTATTTACGTAGCTCAGGTCTCTTTGCCTTTAAGGTTGGTGTTAGCAGGCCATTCTCAATAGAGAACATTTCAGAATGAAGGGCGATGTTTTTGATCTGAAAAAATGAAGGTTAAATCAGACTTTGCAAATTTTTTATTTAGGAACAATACTAAACGTACAGTATAATTAGACTGTGAAAGAACAGAAATAGTATCTGAACCAGTTTATTCTAAGCAATAAGTGATACTCCATATTAGTAAGGATTTAATATAGGTACTGAATTACATAGGCTGTTTATTGAAACCAATCACCCATATTTATAAGAAAAAACAATTTTCTCTTTCCTTTAAAATAAAATTTTAACCAAAAAGGCTGGTAGCATTAATGCAAAGATAGGTTAAAATTTTCCCTTAAAAATTAGATATTGCTAATTTCATTGTAATTAGTCAGTTAATGTTTGTAACTCTACAGCCCAAAATGGCTTTGAAGAAAGTAGAAAGTTATAGTACAGGCAGGTTAATAATAGGCAAACATTTGAAATTCCCACCTGTTCAAATGACTTCAAGCCAAACTCCTTTCCTGTCTTCAACATATCTTCCAGAATGTATTTTTTTAAATCCTGTTGGGATTCAAAGCATAGTGTTACAGAACAATATGACAACAATATGAGTCTTATTTATTATTTGCAGACCACAAATAATAAATAAGGCTCACTGCACTTATTAAACTTATAAGGGCTAATTAGAAGCTACCGTTGCAAAAAACCAGGACTAATGATAAGCAATGATTTATTCTTTTGCAATATAATCCCCACACGTCAGGTGTGTTTAGACCATGAGATCAAGGCCAGAAGGCACAAAAATGACCCAATCCTAGCCTGTGGGTCATTCAAGATGGTTAAGAATAATTATTTTCCCAGTAGTTTAACAACAATGTGTGTTGATAGGAGGGACTGTGTGCTGAGTTTTTTGCTCTGGCTATGCAAATCCACCAGTGTTGCAATTATTACAGTACTAATGCAAAACATGAGTTAACTCCTTATTTAAATTGTTTTGTTTTAAGCAATTGACCCTTTGTCTGTTTTGTGGGTTTCTTATATTACTAGAACTTAGTTATATTTTCTTTCCTTTTCCCTTTTAGTTCAAATCTAATTGCTTTGGGGCAGTGTTGAGCTTCAAGTTTTTGTAACAGATTTCCTGACATTTCACTGGCAATCATGGCTTCAGAGGCAAAATGATGTGCCAATTCCTTTTGCTTACTATTCTTTTTCTGTGCTTTGCATTATGATTACTAAAACACAATCATATGACAGATGCATATGTATGAATGTAATTTTTTAACTGTCAAGTGAAATCAGGAAATCCAAGCAGTTCAAATGAATATAAAGATTTATGGGAAGCTTAAGTTCTCTACAAGAAACTGAAGTTCTCTGCAAGAATTGTGGTAGATAAGAGTCAACAGAATTCAAGGTGGGCTGGACTTAGATCTCTTATGGGCCCAAAGGGACTCAAGACTGATGATGCATTTGACCCCTCCCTCGGGCTCAGCCTGGTCATTTCCTACATTGACTCTTTTACCTACACTGGAAACTGCATACAGTGGGGCAAAAAAGTATTTAGTCAGCCACCAATTGTGCAAGTTCTCCCACTTAAAAAGATGAGAGGCCTGTAATTGTCATCATAGGTAGACCTCATCTATGAGAGACAAAATGAGAAAACAAATCCAGACAATCACATTGTCTGATTTGGAAAGAATTTATTTGCAAATTATGGTGGAAAATATTTGGTCACCTACAAAACAGCAAGATTTCTGGCTCTCACAGACCTGCAACTTCTTCTTTAAGAAGAAGAAGAATAACAGATCTCTGCAGTGCTGGTGTTTTTTGGGATGTGGAAGATGGCCTTTGATTGAGTGGATTGGAACTTTCTATTTTGGACTCTTTGACAAATGGATTACGTTTATGCTGAGCTATAAGGCAAGAGAACTATGGGACTGGGGCATGCAGAAGATCTGGTTGTTACCCTAATACGGTGGTTGGAATTAATAATCTAGATGAAAGACATTACAGAAGACACTATATGGAATATAAATATAAAGTCACTCGGGTGGTTTTTTATATACGAAACATTTATTATTGATGGGGGCAGATGGTAATTGAAGATACTGAATATACTGTTGGAACTAGAATTTGATGTTACCCTAACATGGGTGATGGAATTAACAATCCAGTTGAAAGACATTACAGAAGATACCATATGGATTACAAGCTTAAAGTCATTTGAGGATTTTATCTATATATGGAAATATTTTTTTAGTGGTGTGGGCAGAAGAACAAAGATATTGAAAATATTATGTATGGTAGACCTGCAGGAAAGTGGGTGGAGATAGGCTAGCTTACTGATTGTTGAGTTTAGGAAAAGGGATGTTATGTTATATTAATATACGTAAAAGATTTGAATTAAGAGATATATGTATGGGGGAGGAGGAAATGGATAGATTATGAGTTGAAATTGCCAAATTAGGATTTATTATATAATTTTACAGCTGAATGTTGCTTTGAAATGTATAGTATAAGGGGGATATAATAATATTGTTAGAAAGAAAGGGTCAGCATATGGGGGGTGGAGTAAAAAGGATGGTAAAGTATTATATAATCTGTTATTAATTTGGGTTTTATTCTGGAGAAGCCACAGGGGGAGGGGAGGGGGAGGGGGGGTTAGGGAGGAGGGGAAAAAAAGGGGGGGGGAATCTGTATTTATTTATTTATTTATTTTTCATATTTGTATACCGCCCTACTCCTGAAGGACTCAGGGCGGTGAACAGCCATAATAAATACAAATACATATAGAAGTTAAAAACTATTAAGAAACAGATTAAGTAATTTAGGCTCAAAGATTAAAAACATCCAAATTTATCTAAAGAGGTTTAAAACCCAATTTAAAAGCCAGTTTAAAAGCCAATTAAAAAGGGAGAATTAGGCCAGACCAGCTTGTTGGAATAGAAATGTTTTCAGGGCACGGCGGAATATGCGTAAGTCTTGGATGTTTCGTAACTCCGGGGGAAGCCCGTTCCAGATGGTAGGTGCCCCCACAGAAAAGGCTCTCCCCCTGGGGGCCGTCAGTCGACATTGTTTGGCCGCCGGCACCCTGAGGAGTCCCTCTCTATGGGAGCGAACTGGTCGGTGAGAGGCTATTGGTGGCAGGAGGCGGTCTCGTAAGTACCTGGTCCTGAGCCATGGAGCGCTCTAAAGATAGTAACCAAAACCTTGAAGCGCACCCGGAAAACCACTGGGAGCCAGTGCAGCTCGTGCAGGAGGGGGGTTACATGAGAGCGCCACATTGCTCCCATTACCACCCATTAAAACTTTTTCAATTAAAAAAAAAAAAAGAGAAAACAAATCCAGACAATCACATTGTCTGATTTGGAAAGAATTTATTTGCAAATTATGGTGGAAAATAAGTATTTGGTCAATATCAAAAGTTCATCTCAATACTTTGTTATATATCCTTTGTTGGCAATGACAGGTCAAACGTTTTCTGTAAGTCTTCACAAGGTTGGCACACACTGTTGCTGGTATGTTGGCCCATTCCTCCATGCAGATCTCCTCTAGAGCAGTGATGTTTTGGGGCTGTCGCTGGGCAACACGGACTTTCAACTCCCTCCAAAGGTTTTCTATGGGGTTGAGATCTGGAGACTGGCTAGGCCACTCCAGGACCTTGAAATGCTTCTTACGAAGCCACTCCTTCGTTGCCTGGGCGGTGTGTTTGGGATCATTGTCATGCTGAAAGACCCAGCCACGTTTCATCTTCAATGCCCTTGCTGATGGAAGGAGATTTGCACTCAAAATCTCACGATACATAGCCCCATTCCTTCTTTCCTGTACACGGATCAGTCGTCCTGGTCCCTTTGCAGAGAAACAGCCCCAAAGCATGATGTTGCCACCCCCATGCTTCACAGTAGGTATGGTGTTCTTTGGATGCAACTCAGCTTTCTCTCTCCTCCAAACACAACGAGTTGTGTTTCTACCAAACAGTTCTACTTTGGTTTCATCTGACCATATGACATTGTCCCAATCCTCTTCTGGATCATCCAAATGCTCTCTAGCAAACTTCAGACGGGCCCAGACATGTACTGGCTTAAGCAGGGGGACACGTCTGGCACTGCAGGATCTGAGTCCCTGCTGGCGTAGTATGTTACTAATGGTAGCCTTTGTTATGTTGGTCCCAGCTCTCTGCAGGTCATTCACTAGGTCCCCCCGTGTGGTCCTGGGATTTTTGCTCACCATTCTCGTGATCATTTTGACCCCACGGGGTGAGATCTTGCGTGGAGCCCCAGATCGAGGGAGATTATCAGTGGTCTTGTATGTCTTCCATTTTCTAATTATTGCTCCCACAGTTGATTTCTTCACACCAAGCTGCTTGCCTATTGCAGATTCAGTCTTCCCAGCCTGGTGCAGGTCTACAATTTTGTTTCTGGTGTCCTTTGACAACTCTTTGGTCTTCACCATAGTGGAGTTTGGAGTGTGACTGTTTGAGGTTGTGGACAGGTATCTTTTATACTGATAACAAGTTCAAACAGGTGCCATTAATACAGGTAATGAGTGGAGGACAGAGGAGCCTCTTAAAGAAGAAGTTACAGGTCTGTGAGAGCCAGAAATCTTGCTTTTTTGTAGGTGACCAAATATTTTCCACCATAATTTGCAAATAAATTCTTTCCAAATCAGACAATGTGATTGTCTGGATTTGTTTTCTCATTTTGTCTCTCATAGTTGAGGTCTACCTATGATGACAATTACAGGCCTCTCTCATCTTTTTAAGTGGGAGAACTTGCACAATTGGTGGCTGACTAAATACTTCTTTGCCCCACTGTAGATAAAGGTTTTAAAAACAAGCAAGCTTACACTAAGCCACTATTAGGGTTTGTAATCAGAAAAAAAATCACCTACTTTGTTTTTGCACAGTTCTTCATAAGAGCCTCCCAGGCCTTTTTTTCTTAGCCCAGATGACCAATATGTCTGGATCTGGTACCACAATTCCTATTAGGAAAGCCTGAAGCCAGATAAGAACAAACACTTCAACTGTTATTACTGGATCAGCCATTTCACAAAAATTTTATTGACAAACAGTGATGCCAAGTTGCACCTTTTACCACAACAGGAAACAATAGTTCTGTGCTGGAGTACCGAAGCTATTGAAGGCCTGCCCTTGAAGATCAGACCAATCACTTTTTTTTGGTCTATCTTCACAGCAGAGCAACATTTATTCATGATAAATGTTTTTATTCACTTTAGACATTTCTAAGATATTCTTAAAAACAAATACCTACCTGCAAACTTTCACCATGGACAAACACCTGAGCAACAGGCTCACTCCTTATATATACATTCTCTATTTTTTCTGGTGCTATATATTCTCCTTGTGCAAGTTTGAATATGTGTTTTTTTCTGTCAATTATCTTCAGGGTACCATTCTACAAAACCAGTAGAAAAAGAAACTTTCTTCAATTCATAAAAGGTTCATGCTTTACATTATCCCATAATCAATGAGAGTTGAGTGCAAGATAAATTCTGAAGAATGTTCAATTAAAAGCCAAGATTACCACTAAGAAATAATTTGTTTGAACAGCACAAGAATACTATTTCTGTAAGTTATTTCAACAGCCCATGATAGTTGTATTTTGAGACCAAGATAGGAAAACACAAAACATATATTTGTTTGTTTGTTCATTCATTCAGTCATTCATTCATTCATTCATTCATCAGGTTTGTTTCCTGGCATTTCGTTGTGCTCTTATAATCTTATTCAGGTAGTCCCCCACTTACAACCACTCATTTAGTGACAGTTCACTGAAGAAAGTGACTGATGACCTGTTTTCACACTTACAACCACTGCAGCATCCCCATGGTCTCATGATCAAAATTTGAGCCCTTGATAGCTGGCATGTATTTATGACAGTTGTACTTTCCCAGCTGGCTTCTGACAAACAAAGTCAATGAGGGAAGCCAGATTCGCTTACCGACTGCATGATTCACTGAACAACAGCAGTGATTCACTAAACTGTGGCAAAAGGTCGTAAAATGGGATGCATATCATTTAACAACTGCCTTGCATAGCAACAGAAATTTTGGGCTCAATTATGTTATAAGTCGAGGACTACCTGTATGATCTTGTGTAGAAAAAGAAATACTCAATTGATTTGAAAGTAACTTCATAGCATTTACCAAGGAAATTGTTATAAATGTTTAAAATAAATTTTCTACAAAGGTGCCTTCCACCACACCAATTTGTGGTGATCTGCGACTGGTGATGTACATAAGAACTTTTTTTTCTGAAACTGAACAGATTCACTTCCAACTTAGCTACAGCACAAGAAAAATACACAGTGAAAACATCCTTTCTGCTTATGGCCAGATCTATATGCTAGCCTTTTTCTATATCCTGCTAGAACTGTAGTTAATACAGTTTCTATATCACAGTCTATATGTATCTATATAACAGTCCTTCTGTATATAAAAGGCCCTAATGATATTAAATAATGGACAACAGCATGAAAGGTTGGACAAAGATACATCTGAACAATAGTGCAATATGTTGGAAATGTAAAAGATCCCAAGGAACATATTATCATTTATGGTGGACCTGTCCGGCAGCAAAAAAAATTTGGTCAAATATTAAGAAATGGATAGAACAAATAACAGAACAGCAAATAGAAAAGAAGCCAAAAGAATTCTTGTTAGGAATTTTTACAAAACCATATTCCAAAGAAATAAAATATTTGATGCTACATATCTTGACAGCAGCACGAATAACATATGCAAAAAATTGGAAACAGGATAGAACCCCGATGGAAGAAGAATTGATAGAAAAGATTTTAGAATGCGCGGAGATGGACAGATTAACAACAGAAATTAAGGAAAAAGAAGAGACAGATTATTACAGAATGTGGAATAAACAGTATAAATGGCTCGAGACTAGAAACATAGAACAATAATGATAAGGAGAGAAGATTAGAAGTATAATATGTACATATATATAACAAATGTAGTGAGAGTAATAAAAATGGATATAACAGGAATGTAGAAATGTACAATATTAAAGATATAATTAAAATATATAAATCTCCACAGGAGGAAGAGAAGGGGGGGGGGAAGGAAAACGAGGGAAAGAAGAAGGAATGTTACACTATGATATAGTGGAAGAAGAATAAAGTAACTAATGGAAGACCACTATGAAATAATGCTTAAGAATGATAAGATATTTATATTTATTTTTATTTATTTTTATTTTATTGAATTTCTATACCGCCCTACTCCCGAAGGACTCAGGGCGGTGCACAGCCATAAAATAAAACACATAGATATACAAAATTTAAAATCAAATAAAATGAATTAAATAAATTTGGCTGAATTAGTACCCATAATTTAAGATACCCATTTTTTAAAATACATTAAAAATTTAAAAATTTAAAATTTACACTTAAAAGGGAGAAGATTTAGGCGAGGCCAGATTGATGAAATAAAAACGTCTTCAACTCGCGGCGGAAGGTGCGCAGATCCGGAATCCTCCGTATCTCTGGGGGGAGCTCATTCCAGATCATCGGTGCCCCCCACAGAGAAGGCTCTCCCCCTAGGGGCCGACAGCCGACATTGTTTGGCCGACGGCACCTGGAGGAGCCCCTCTCTGTGGGAGCGTACTGGTCGGTGGGAGGCTGTTAATGGTAGTAGGCGGTCCCGTAAGTAATCAGGTCCTAAGCCATGGAGCGCTTTAAAGGTGGTAACTAGAACCTTGAAGCGCACCCGGAAGACCACCGGGAGCCAGTGCAGCTCGCGCAGGAGAGGTGTTACATATGTTGTATGTTGTGTAAATGTCAAATCTATGTGTTAATAAAACTATAAATTTTTTAATTAAAAAAAAAAAGAAAGGTTGGACAGTTGTGTGCTGAATTTTTATTGCAAGCCCAGCTGTTCCAATGAAACATATAGTACTAAGAAAGGATTCCTAGAATTGCTAGGAATCTGGTATCTAAACTGAAAATCATCTCAGTGTTTATACTATGGAAAAAGCTGACAAGCAAGTTGATGGTACCATGTTTTATAAGACATTTGTACTATAGATGGTCAATAGATTGAATGTCACAGAAATATGCAAGCTTGCAACAGAAAAGTTCTGGCACTAAAATAGTGAAATAACCCATTGATTAAAGGAATGTCTACTGTCTATTCACAAAATACATTCGATTACAAATTGGCTTACCGGTAACCACTTCCCAATATCTCCAGTATGTACCCAGCCATCTTTGTCAAGAACTTCTGCTGTTTTTTCAGGATCTTTTAGATAGCCTTTAAACACATTTGCTCCTTTTATACAAACCTGGAACAGAAGTGGACTGTGCTTAAAAAACACCCCTCCATAAAACTGATTATCCTACTATTTTATGTAGGAATGGAAATAACACTCATTCACTACACCAACTGATTCTAAGCTCACTTGTTATTATTTTTAGGCAATTTGCCAATATTTTGGTAAATAATACTGATCAAAATCATGACACCTTTAAATTTCTTTTGAACTGATTCTTGTAGAATAAAGAATGTACTTGCTTAAAATTTAAAACATGCAATTTAAAACAGGGAGACATTTTCTGACATTTGGGTATGTTTTGCACTTAAATTCTACATGTAAGAACTGAAACTGGTGAAGCAGGAACCAGCAGTTCACAGGCTAGAAAGGACGACGATATAAACACATTGCAATTGCCCAAGGGTGATACCTGATCTACTAAATTTCTATAACCTCAGAAATGCAGGAGGAAAAAACTGAGTTTTTAATCTCTGGATCTCTCTGTCTCTCTCTCTCTCTCTCTCCCTCACACCCACCCACTCACACTGCATGAAGGTTCTACATCTGTTGCTCTGCAGCAGACAATATTATGTTAAGGCTTAATTTTTTACCTACGAGAGAGTTTCTAATCTAGCTGAACTCTGTTTGACATCTTCTGCCAACTCAAGCCAAGAACTGAATGGGAGGTTTAAGTGTTGGAAAAGCCAAGCTTTGGAGTTCAGATAGCACAACTTACCTCACCCTCTCCTTTGGCAGCAAAATAATTCATTTCTTCTACATCAACCAGCTTTATGATATTGCAAGGCATTGGGGCACCAACGTGACCTATTGGTGGAATAATATTTTGTTGTAGGTTGATTTTAACCATATGTTACCAGTTACTCTGAATAAAGGTTATTAACAAACAATGCATTTTTTTTTTAAAAAAAAGAGATAGACACACACACACACATACACACAGAGAGTATATAGTTCTAAAGTCCATTTTTAAGAACCGTATCAGGCAAATATATGTTCTTCACAGGGTACTGAACTGAACTTGAACTGAATAGGACTTGAGGGTAGTTCTGCTAGCATGCAGCATTTCACCCACGGGAACTGCTGTATCATAATGTTCTTACTGATAGTTCTTATTAACTTTTCTCTGTACGTACTTATTTTATTATTGTTTTTATTGGCTAGAGTTATATGCCACCTTTTCTCTAGAAGCTGAAGACAGTTTAAGCAGGCGTTTTTTGATCGTTTTATTCTCCCAGTGTCTATGATGTCGGTTAAGCAGAGTGGGACAAACTATACTAAAAAAACTGGACAATAAATTTCCATGACAGTGAAGATAGACCCAGTATTGAGAAGCTTGCACTATCATGCCAATCTGCAAGATTTAATTACTCTAGTCATACAAAAAATTAAAATCTCAGGTGTTTTCCCGCGTCATGTTAAATAAGTTAGTTAAAATGTTTAAAATTCTGGTTAAAATCCTATCTTAAAATCTTCCAAAAATCATTACAGAGGATTTTTAAACAAGAGCCTGAAGAAGGTTGTGAGCCTGTCGAAACATTGATAGAAAGAAAAACTTTTAAGGTACTGGTAGGATTTTAGCTAAGGTTTTAAAGGACCTTGCAGAGTGCTCTGTAAGGATTTTTGGAAGATTTTAAGATAGGATTTTAACCAGAATTTTAAACATTTTAACTAACTTATTTAACATGACGTGGGAAAACACCCGAGATTTTAATTTTTTCCATATACACACCACCCGCGAAAACTTAAGACACACACACACACACACACACACACACACACACACACACACACATATGTAGGTCTTTGGTTATTCGGGTTTTCTCCCGCGTAAAATTGGAGGTGTCTTGGCAACGTTTCGATGAAGTCTCATTCGTCATCTTCAGGCTGGTGTTTTCGGCTTTGTGCTTCTAGGAGCAATGTTTCTTCCTTTTAACTGCCAGTGGGGGTGTGAACTGATTGGGTGGGAGCTTGGCTGTGTTCTGATTGGGTGGAGGTGTGTTCTGATTGATTGGGGGTTTGGCTGTGCTCTGATTGGATGGGGGGTTGGCTGTGCTCTGATTGGATGGGTGTGTGTTCTGTTTAGGTGGGGGCTTGGTTGTGCTCGGGTTAGTCTGAGTAGCAGGGGGATTTGAGCTGGTGAGCTGGGTTGCTGTTGTTTGGCTTCGTGTCAAACAACCAAAGCTAGGGCTGCAGAAAAACCTTGGTTATGTAGGAAAAACCTGGCTAGAGGAAACACACACACACACACACACATATATATATTGTTGGACATATATATATAAAAATAAATTGTTGGACATTTCTTCTGAATTGCTTCTCACTTCTGATTAACTTTACCATTGAAGTTTCTCGATAAATATTTTGTCTGCCCTTATTTAAATTGTATAAGCAGAGGTGGGTTTCAGCAGGTTCTGACCAGTTCTGGAGAATCGGTAGCAGAAATTTTGAGTAGTTCGGAGAACTGGTAAATACCACCTCTGACTGGCTCTGCCCCCTTCTATTCTCTGCCTCCTGAGTCCCAGGTGATCAGGAGGAAATGGGAATTTTGCAGTAACCTTCCCCTGGAGTGAGGAGGGAATGGAGATTTTACAGTATCCTTCCCCTGCCACACCCACCAAGCTACGCCCACAGAACCAGTAGTAAAATATTTTGAATCCCACCGTGTATGACTTAACAAATTAAAAAAGCCCTACCAGCAGTCCAGTCACCAGGTATTGTTAGAGAACATCCAGCTGTGCATTCTGTTTGTCCATAGCCTTCATAAAACTGCAAAGCAGAACATAAAGATCAGTCACTGATGCTTTTCCCACTCAATGGGAATTCTATTTTATCATTTCTCAAGACACCTTATACAAAATTATTGAACAAATGTAGAACTCCTTTTCATCCTTGCTTTCCCAATTTAACTTTTATTCAGAATATGTAGTCATATACTGTATGAGTAATAATGTATTTAGTTAACGATTACCTATTTTAAATTTGGAATTTTCCAAGAATGTTTAATTTAATTATAGAAATGCCATCTAAGTCTTGACCTAACGTTAATCTCGTCTTTTAATACTTCAAATGGGATTGCCTATTGAAACACATCAAGAATAAATTTTTTTTAGTCACAGACATACCAATGGTACATTGCAAAACTCTTTTATTTGAGTTTCCCATATGAAATTCCAGTCTGAAAAAAACTACTTTCATGTATGGTAACAATTCTTGAGTCTTGATTTATAAACTAATGATTATATAATTCTTATTTATATAACTGATTTTGTATTTTAGGCAAAGGATTGTTAGATGGCACAATCCAAATAACTAAGAGAAGCTTCACATGCCACTTGGAGAGTCAATAATACCATTTTTTTCACAATCCAGTTTTCAATACTGTTTGATGCTGCATTGTCTTCAGTCCCTTCTTGTGCTCAGTTAATAATATAAGTGCTTTGTAATAAAGTTAATCCAGTTCTCTTAAGTGTAACCTCAAGATGATAAGATATGACATTTGTAATGAAATGAAATATAATGAAAATTACATTTTCCATTCTAGGTACAGTCCACGCTCACCTGACAACCAAGAGCTGCTCTTAGGAAGGTCAATACATTTGCAGAAACAGGAGCTGCTCCTGTAATCATTAGTTTGACTTTTCCTCCCAGATTTGCCTAAGGAAAGGAAAAAAACAAACAAACCCCAAACATCGTCACTTCAACAACCACAGGGAAGCCAAAAATCTATGGTGAGTGGCACTTGGATCATACTTGGAAGAATATTCAACAGCCCAAATCCCTTGAACTCTTTCCAAATATGTGTGTTTGAAGGCAGCCTGGAGTCACATGAATGAATAGATTATTCTTTCAAGGAGCATTTGTTACAGTGCTGCTGCCAGGTATGTTTTACCCTGTCACTTCATCTAAAACTAACACAGGCCATGAAATATTGTTAAATAGTCCTTCTGAAACCAAATATGGGTATTAAGAAAGACCATATTGGGCCTCACCTGGCAATGCTATAACAGAAAGAAGAGGCAACCTATTCCATTTACACAATAATAAATTTTACTGCCCCAACAGGAAGGGAATCATATTTGCATTACACTGCATCATATCCAAATACACATAATACGTGATTAATTTTTCCTTGTCCTGTCTCTGTTTTCCTCACACAGACATTCCAGCTATACCACTTGTATATAGTTGTTGCATATGATGATAGCTACAGAAACAAAACTTCTCACATGTGTAACACAGTCATCTTATGGAGTGTCTCGTCCAATGTCATATAGGACAACCTGGAAGCACTTGCTTTGAGTGGTTCAGATAATTAGAAACAAGTACTATGTCTTCAGAATAGAAATAATTTTTCAGACTTTTTAAAAAAATGTAATAGCTAATAGCAATAGCATTTAGACTTATATACTGCTTCAGAGTGCTTTACAGCCCTCTCTAAGCGGTTTACAGAGTCAGTGTATTGTCCTCAACAATCTGGGTCCTCATTTTACCCACCTCAGAAGGATGAAAGGCTGAGTCAACCTTGAGCCTGGTGAGATTTGAACTGCCAAATTGCAGGCAGCAGAAGTAGTCTGCAGTACTGCACTCTAACCACTGCGCCACCAAGGCTCATATCTAAATTAAAAAAGAGCTATGGATCTGCATAAAAGACCCTCGATTACCTTGCTTTACTAGACTGGGTAAAATCAGAATCACTAGTTTACAAGAACCAGCAGTTACACACGTGTCGAGTCACTTATGTGAAAAATGCTAAGGTTAAACTGCTATTTCTGACCCTCTGAGATGGTACTACCTGTTAGAATGACCTCACACACCAAACAATACTTTGCCACTGGAAATCAACTTTGAGTCTTCTACAAGCAAATAAAGATTTTTCTACAAAAAAAGTATTCCAATATTCACTTCCTTCAGCCACAATCTAAATTTAAATAATTTTGAAGAATTATGCTACAGGTAGTCCTTGGCGGTTGACCATAATTGAGCCCAAAATTTCCATTGCTAAGGAAGGTAGTTGTTAAGTGAGTTTTGCCCCATTTTATAATCTTCCTTGCCAAAGTTGTTAAGTGAATCATTGCAGTTGTTCAGTTAGTAACATAGCTGTTAAAAATGAATCTGGCTTCCCCATTGACTTTGCTTGTCAGAAGGTGACAAAAAGTGATCAAATGATGCTGGGACAGTGTGACTGTCATAAATAAATGCCAGTTGCCAAGTGCCCAAATTGTGATCATGCGATTATGGGGATGCTGCAAAGGTTGTAAGTGTGAAAACCAGTCATAAGTCACTCTTTTCAGTGCCATCGTAACTTTCCGGCAGGCCTGGGGCCGTTGATCTCGCTGTTACGATCTTGTGAGATCCGGCCATGAATGGTGTGAATGGGTTTTAATGTTTTAATTTTTAAATGTTTTTATAATGGTTTGTTTTTTTTAATGCATTGTAAGCCGCCCTGAGTCTCCGGAGAAAGGTGGCTAATAATAATAATAATAATAATAATAATAATAATAATAATAGTAGTAGTAGTAGTAGTAGTAGTAGTAGTAGTAGTAGCTTAAATGTTCACTAAATGAATGATTGTAAGTCAAGGACTAACTGTATGTTATGTTAGCTGAATTCTTATGTTATAGGAAAAGGATATAATCAAATAGATAAATATGCACTCTATATATACAGGGTCCTAGAGTCAGTTCTTATTACCACCAGATAAGATTAAATAAGAGAAGTCTTAGCAATCATACAGTGGTCTATCATAAAAGTTCATGGGAGCTATTAGCCAACCACATTTGGAGGACAATACATTGCCCTCTAAAATAAAATCTCCATCTGAAACATCAAGTGGTGGTTGTCTAGCAATATAAAACATGCCAATCTGGATGTATCAATTATTTAATAAACAATGGCCCTAATTTTATAGCCACAGTGTTTTTAAAAAATATTGGAATTAAGAACTTTCAGAGAGCAAGTCAACTCTCAAAATCATCAGCAATCAGGTTACCTGTACTTTGCGGAAAATCATTTTATCCCATAGGCTGTTATTTCTAATAATGCCACTTCTAAGTTCTGCCTCTTTTCTCTTGGAAGCAAAATCCAATATCCACCGTTTAAATGAAGTATTCGCTTGTTGAAAGATCTGCAAAAGAGTGCAATTTTCTTCAAGATGCCATAGAAACAAATGAATGTAGTTTTCACAATCGTATGCCACTAAGTATTAATTGAACAAATGCCTGAGAGCTCCTGCTTGCTATTTTCCATTGCTAATCACTAGAGCCATTATTATCCTTTGATGAGGCCCACTCTGCACCCCATCTACTGTAGGCTGTAGTAGACATAATTTTGTGGTTATATGCAAATGCAAATAACATCTGGGAAATATCTTAAAGCTGCTGCAACATTGAGTGACTGCTGCTGCGGTTTCACCCACTAGATACAAATGAGAACTTTGCTTTTACAAGTCAAAATATGCTTTATTTGCTACCATTAGATTCCCAAAGCATAAAAAGTGATTTCCTAAAATGTCATGGAAAGCAACTGTTCCTATTATGTTCAGTTTCACACAGACTTACTTTATCAAACATTCTGTTCAACAATCTTGGCACCACAGGAAACACTGTAGGCTGCAAAGTTTTTAAGTCATCCATGAGTAGCCTGATGTCTCCCTGGAAAAATCCAATCCGAGCCCCATGACAAAGAATCACACACTAAGGACAAGAGAGAAAGAGAGAATCCAAAATAAACTAAGGCAAATAAAATTTGATTGGCTTATTTTTTAAAAAATGAGCAGAAATTGGAGAAGTTTATTTATTTTATCACTGCAGTCCAAGTTATCAGCATTCCCTTTTGCACCACATACATATCAACATAATCTGATAATCAGAGACAAAGCTTTTGTTCTCCAGCCACTTTGACATATTCTTGGAATTATATTTGCCTATTAATAGCATTACTTAAATTTAGACTGTTCACCAGCTTCCACTCTTACAATTGACTTTTTTCTAGTTACAGAAAATTTAATAGGGGGAAAAGCTGAACAATTCTTTTAACTGATTTTAATATAAGCTATTCATCTGGCAGCACATTATTTCCTTAGCAGATGACTTTTTAAAGTCACTTCTTTGCTTAAGATACAGTGGATGTAACACACCCTCTTAAAATGCCCGGTTTTTGAGATGTAAAAAAATCAGACCAAGCTAAATCACTTCAGAATTTTTTTTTCACCTTTAATATATCATGGAAACTGTACAATTCAATTGAAAAACAAACTAAAATCTTTTAGGGGGAATAATAAAAATGTACAATAACATAGTTGCATAAGTGTGCACACACTCTTATAAGTAGGGATGTGGCTGCGTTCAGAATTAACCAATCATATTCAAACTGATGTTAAATAGTAGAGAGTACACACCAGTGAAGAAGGTCATCACCAAGTAGAGAAAATATGGCACAACAGTGTCATTACCAAGAATGGGAGGTTCCTCCAAAATTGATGAAAAAACAAGAAAACTGGTTTGAGAGCTTACTAAGAAGCTTACAACAATGTTAAAGGAGCTGCAGGAATTGCTGGTAAGTACTGGTTGTGTACTACATGTGATAACAATTTCCCGTATTCTTCATACAATATGTCTGGGCTGGGAATAAGGTAGCAAGATGGAAGCCTTTCTTCTGAAAGAAAATCATCCAAGCCCAGCTACATTTTGCAAAAACCCACACCAAGCCTGACAAAAACATGTGGGAAATTAAAATCTGATGAGATCAAAGTTGAAATATTATGCCATAATTCCAAAAACTATGGCTCAAAAAACAACACCACCACTGTGCATCACCAAAGGTACATTAAACCCACAGTGAAGCATGGTGGTGGCAGCATTATGCTTTGGGTTTGCTTTGCTTCAACTGGAACTGGAGCTTTAGTCAAGGTGGAGGGAATTATGAACAGTTCCAAATATCAGTCAATTTTGGCATAAATAGCAATAGCACTTAAGACTTACATACCGCTTTACAGTGCTTTACAGCCCTCTCTAAGCTGTTTACAGAGTCAGCATATTGCCCCCAACAATATGGGTCCTCATTTTACCCACCTCGAAAGGATGGAAGGCTGAGTCAAACTCGAGTATGGTGAGATTTGAACTGCCAAATTGCAGGCAGCAGACAGTCAGCAGAAGTAACCTGCAGTACTGCACTCTAACCATTGCGCCACCTTCCGGTCTCTGCTAAAATGTTGAAATGATTTCAAAATTCATCTTTCAACATGACTATAACTCAAAGCATACTCCCAAACAACAAAAGAAAAGTGTTACCAGATGAAAGTCAAAGTTTTAGAATGGCCCAGACAAAGCCCAGACCTGAATCCAATTGAAAAATCTGTGGAATGACTAAAGAGGGCTGAACACAGACGATGCCTGTGGAGAGCTTTTGCAAGGAAGAATGGGCAAAAATTCCCAAGGCAAGATGTGCCAAACTGCCAGGCTCCTACCCAAAAGACTGACTGCTGTCATCAGATTAAAAAGCGCTTCAACGAAGTATTAGTTCAAGGGTATACACACTTATGCAACTGTATTATGGTACATTTTTAGTGATATTTTGCTCCCTAAAAGATTTCAGTTTTTCAGTGGAAAAACAAACTGTACAGTTTATTGTTATATTAAAAGATGGAAAACAATTCTGATTTATCTTGATCTGATTTTTTTTACATCTCAAAAAACTGGCATTTTAACCAAGGTGTGCAGACTTTTTATATCCACTGTACTTGCAACTTCAAACATATCCACCGTAACTGTCTTCATCCCTGAAGCAGTGAAACATTAGTGTAAAACCACCTATCCGGTTAGCTACATTTATAAATAACACACCACTATATCATTTCTTCCTCCTGCAAAAAACGGAAGAATAACTAATCTTGTGATATCAGAGAGTTAAAGTAGAACTAAGATTACAATTTGAAACTGGCTGATCAAGCTTGTTCCCTGATTTGTAATGGAGTTTCTGTTTCTGTTTAAAATACTTGAGAAATAGATTAAGGACATCAGACATTTCATAAGCCTCAGCCAGTGTAGCAAATAATCAGAATTCTGAAAGCTGTAGGCAATTAACTGAAGTCATTAGTTGCTTATCCTGGGATCTGACACGATAGTTGATATCTGTCTCCTGAGCAGGCTTCATTTTATTTTTTAATAACAATAGCTTCACTGTGTTTTAGCCAATTTCAAGACAAGAAAGCAATATATGTTACAGCAATCACTATGGAGAGCGCATTCTGAAGAGAGAGAAGTTCTCTAAGAATGAGCTCCAGTACAAATCTGAAAGCTTGAAAGACTAAAACGTTGGTCCTGATGAATAACTCAGATTGAATCCTACAACATTATCTTGGGACACGTTTGCCTTCATTACTGGTAAAAAAGCCTAGAATTTTATGTGCCAAAATACACCCCCAAAATTGGGTTTAGCTTGCATGCAATTTTATGCAAGACAGAAAGGTACTAGTTCCATGATGGCGAACCTATGGAATGCGTGGGGGGGGGGGGGGGGGAGAAGGACTGTGTGGGTGTGGCCAACTGGGTAGGAGTGGCCAGCTTGATGCCACTCAATGGGGATGGTAGACTGGGTGGGTGTGGCCAGCTTGACGCCACTCCCCAAATTGCCGGCATGTTTCCTCTTTGCATTGTGTAGACTGGGATGAAATCACACTGGCCCAATGTTTCCTCTTTGCATTGGGTAGACCGGGCTGAAGCCACATGGGCTGGCCCCTTACATTTTCCAGGACGGCCCTATGGGCTGGATCCAACCACATCACAGGCCGGATCCAGCCCATGGGCCTTGTGTTTGACACTCCTGGACTACAGCAATATTTCTCAACCCTGGAAACTTTAAGATGTGTACATTTTAACTCCCAGAATTCCCCAGCCAGCATAATAGAGAAACAATTTAGCTAATTATTAGAGCTGTCCAATGCTTGGGTTTTGACTTGTAGTAAGTGCATTAGAATATGTGGGAAGGCAAGACAGCTTGCCAAGTTCTGTCCATGACTTGTTAAAGCAGCTACATGTACTCCACTAGCCACCATGTCACTAAGAAACATAGTTGAATTGCAATGGGAAAGGAATTATTAGTCATATAAAGTACATAAGATACCTTCATGTTTGTCTATCATCTTATCTTATTTCACTGTCAATGAAATCTGATGATGTTGTGCTTTTAGAAACAGTTTAATTATCAAAGAAGAAAGCAGAAAATTATATTGCGACCATCTTTTGCTTAAATTCATTATTTCCTTATCCAGGATGACAACATTTTTTATTTTTTTATGGAGTAAGCGGGTGTAAGGTTAGCATAAGTGTATTTTACGTTCAATGAAATCTGTATATAAATACCCATTAGGCTCATTCAGGCTTAAATTTATTTTTCAGTTTGTAGTTATCTATATAAGAAAAATCTGAGATTACTCAGATTATTTTTCAAACAGAATTCTAAATCCAATAGGACTAAAAAGGATTCAACTAATTATAAGCAATTATGACAGAATGAGAAAAGCGTACACAGACAATATATTTATAAATTAAAACAGTGCACACAGAACACAACAGAGAAAAAAGTATACAATACCGAGTTTCCCTGAAAATACGACCTACTCAGAAAGTAAGTCTTAACTTGATTTTTACACATGCACCCAATATAAGCCATACCCCCCCCCAAAATAAGCCCTAATTAAGACTCCACCCACTCCAGGGTACACGGGTGAAAATTAAGCTAGGGTGGGGATGGGAGGGTTGGAGCTGCCCTACTACTTACCTTCGGATAATTGCAGCCAGGCGTTGCACACCTCAGCCCATTTCCTCTGCACCCAGCAAGGTTTTCCTGAAGGCCCCTGTAGCTAATAACAGAAGCTCTGGATTGATCTGGAGCTCTGTTATCGGCTACAGAGGCCTTCAGGAAAACCTTGCTGGCTGCAGAAGAAATGGGCCAAGGTGTGTGAGGCCTGGCTGCAATTATTCGAAGCTGAAGAAGTTCCTGAAGGCCTCTGACAGCGAAAAGGAGGCCGGGGGCGACACGCACATGTGAGGTGAGTCAGTGGACAACACACACACCTCGAAAATAAGACTTGGTGCCTTTTTGGTGGCAAAAAAATATAAGTCAGGGTCTTTATTTTCAGGGAAACACAGGTATAAAGCTGAGACTATACTCTTCTTCAGCTGCAAAAAAACCATAAGCATTAGCAATAAATACAAACATATTCTGCAGGTTTTGTATGTTCATCCTGGTCTCCCTATGCTAGTGGAAAAAAATTTAAATGGCAATATGGCTGGGTGTAAAGAATAAAGGACAATGACCTTGACAGAGATATGCAAGATAAGTTGCCTAAGGGGCTGAAACATTTTGTAAGTCCAGAGCGAGATAAAATTCAGAATTTTAGATTACATTCAGAAGCAGTTTAGACCTCCCTAATTAATTGAACTATAAGGAGAATATATTGTATAGTACAGACTTGTCATTATAGCCAATCTCAATAAAAAGTAATTTTCCTGTGGAGTTGATTTACAGGTTTGATCTATCTTGTGGGACTTACACTGAGTTCATGTACTGCAACCAGCAATCTGTAATATCACAAGGATTCATACTTGTTATAAATTAACAGAAATACATTTAATGTAAGTCTGTTTGCCAAAAGCTCCCTAGCCCTGCAAAATAAACAGATATTAACAAAGTAGGATGTTGCAATTTAACATTTTTGGCATTTTATTCATTAATATATACACTGCTCAAGAAAATAAAGGGAACACAAGCAGAAGACATCCGAGATCTGAATGAATGAAATATTAAATACTTTGTTCGTTACATACAGTAGTTTTGTGTTCCCTTTAGGTGTTTGAGCAGTGTATAAACTACTGTATGTAAAGAACAAAGTATTTAATAAGGCTATTTCATTCATTCAGATCTCAGATGTCTTCTGCTTGTGTTCCCTTTATTTTTTTGAGCAGTATATATATTTTAGACATCTTTATATTTCTTCTTCCTTTGGGATCTCAAGGTAGCACACATTGATATCCCATCTTTCCTTATTCATTATCAGATTAAAAAAGTTTTAGCTCTTGGTTCCTATGTATTGCTGGGCCAACTATCATTTCTACTAATGATCATACTGACAGGGAGCTGTTCTTATTTTTTACACTTATATCCTACCTTTCTTTTAGGACAGGAGTCTGCAACCTTAAACATTCAAAGAGCCATTTGGACCCGTTTTCCACAGAAAAGAAAACACTGGGAGCCACAAAACCTGGGTGGGCATGGCCAACTTGATGTCACTCACTTCCACCAGTCACATGACACCTCCCTAGCCACGCCTACCCAGCCGGTCATTAGGGCAGAGAACCGGTTGTTAAAAAACACCGGGAACCACAAAACCCTTATGACATTCTCTCTCTCTCTCTCCCCACCCCTCTCTCCCCCTCTCTCTGTATCTCTCTGTCTTTGCCCTGGCCACTTCTCCATCCCCTGCCATCGCCCTTACCTTCTCAGGCCAGGCGAGGAGTGACTGGGAGGGCAAGGGGTGGGGCCAGACAGTGGTGGGATCACCCGACAGGGAGCCACAGCAGAGGGGCCAAAGAGCCGTGACTCTGGAGCCACAGGTTGCTGACACCTGCTTTAGGAGCTAAAGGCAGCATGCATAAAACTTCCTTCAGCATGTTTATCCACAACCCTATAAAATGGTTGGGCTAAGAAAGAGCAATTATTCTTTAGTCACTCATTCAACTTCAAGGGCAGAAAATGGGTTTGGATCTAAGGGGAATTGTATATTCCCAGTTTTAATTGGGGAACTAATACTAAGCAAGGATGGTTAAATCATGTGAGTCTAAGACAGATTTATCTGTTGTAAGTAGGCTGGCATGTATTGTTTTACTTACCTGGACTATTCTTTCAAACATATGTGCAAGAGGCAAAAAGGAAATATGTGTGTCACTTGGGCTTGTTTTATATCCAGCCTGCAAAAGAGGAAACTACTTAAAAATGACATTAAAATACAGATGCCTACCTCAACAATTCTTTCAAACATATGAGCCAGGGGTAAGAAGGAGATTAAGGTGTCTTCAGGACAAGGAAATACTGCTTTCTGTAAGCAGAAGCACCAGGAAGTAGAAGAGAAAAAGAAACCAATTACACAAGAATAATTTTTAAAACAAGAAGCTGCCATATCCAAGCCAAGCTAAACAGAATCAATACACATGATCACCAAAGCCATTAGAAAGAATGGGAAATAAGCCCAATTTGGTCCATTAAGCCACTCAGAGTAATGTTCTATGTCCTTTCTACAAGTTTATGGCCATGTGCTTTGAAAATCCAACTTAAGCCAAGTATTAAGTTTAAAGGGATGTTGCAGAATCATATTAAGTCAATGCATTATACTTCTAAATTGGAGAAGCAAATTTCAGCATTAATATTCTAATGACCAAGGTATATACTTACAACACTATGATTACACTTATATTTATGTCTCATATTCAAGATGAATGTACAACCTATGTGCTTTTCTCTTAAGAGATAACAAACTGACTATTTAGATTACAACATATTTTGCTTCAAGACCCAAGTTCTTGTCATATAAGACATGAAGCATTTAATATCTAGATCTTTATGTGGATAGTTCTCTAGATACATTGGGATGTGGTTTGGAATTTTAGAAGCTAGACTCTGAAATGTGGGAGGATATTAAATTGTAAAAGACTGGTTAAGAAACTTCAAGCTGTTCTTTGATTATCAATTGTTTTAGAAAAATAAATTTGGCTTCAGAGTTGCAAATAGGATAAAATCAGCAAGAAGATAGGCAATCCACATAATTCACCAAAGTATGATCTATATGCAGAAAAGATCAGAGAACATCAGAGACAATCAAAATTGCACCAGAGACACCAAAGCAATAAAACATGGCTTCCAGAAAACAGAATTTTTGTGTTGAACTACAAATCAAGCCTGTCTTTAGCTCAACTCCCATTCAGTGGTTACATAAAATTTGTATACTTTCTTATAAAAAAATCAAGTTTATAACATGCTTAGGTGTCCTTTTTTCCAAGAATTTCCTATTGGTTGTTTTAACTTTTTAACCCATCCCCATGGCAGAACCCTTAAAATGTTTAAGATAACAATCTGCAAAATAGAGAAGCTGCAGTTGATGTTCTATGAAAATAATATTAGATGACTTAAGTGACAGATTATATAATTTACGCTAGGAAGAAGATAGTTAAGCAAGCAAACCAAAACAACCTAAATTTCATTTGCTTTCATGTTAAGGAAGCTATTCTAAGTACCTCCTTACTTCACTTAGTAATACTGAAATTCTAATATCCCAGCTTTTTGTAAACGTTACTGAAATACCACATTAAACATTAGAACACCTAGTATAATAGAAATGTCAAGTTTTTAAAGGCTATTAACAAGTATATACTGTATGTATTATACATTCTATCTTATTTTTAATTTAAGTCAATCCCTTGTATAGGAAACATTATAAAACGTAGCAGTCCTACTGATCTAACATATAGTTTTCATTTTAAAAAAACAGCAGTAACAAAATTAAAAATACAGATTTTTTTTTCTAAACTTAACTGCAGAATTGGAAGTGAAAGCTGCAGTTTTTGGTCTCCAATAAACTGATCACATCAGGTTGCTAAAACTGAAATAAATTAATCTGTAAAAGATTAATTATTTCTTTTCCAAGTGAGTTACACTCCAAGGTCTTAAAAAAATCCAAATCAGCAACCTTTACCTCTGTTGCTTTCACAAATGCAGACATATTGCTCACTATATTTCGATGAGTAATCATGGCTCCCTTAGGACATCCTGTGAGAAGAAAGGTATAAAGATTTGAAATAGCAAAGATATGAAATTTCTAAATGGGTTCGTGGAATTCTTGTATAGGTGATCCTCAATTTACAACCATTTAGTGACCTTTAAAGTTACAGTGGCATTAAAAAAAGTTAGTTACAACCAATCTTCACACTTAACAATGGTCACAGCCACCCCATAGTCACGTGATCAAAACTTGGTCACTTGGCAACCGTCATGTATTTAAGATGGTTGCAGATCCCAAAATCATGAGATCATCATTTGTCACTTTCCCAGCCAGCTTCCAACAAACAAAATCAATGGGGAAAGCCAGGTTCACTTAACCAGGTTCACTTAACACCTGCAGTGATTCACTTAACAACTATGTAAAAAAATGGTCATAAAATTGGGTGCAACTCACTTAATAACACTCTTGCTTAGCAACAAAATTAAAATTACAATTGTGCTTGTAAGTCAAGGGCTCCCTGTATGTGTAAGCAAGAGCTTAAATAACGGGCTGTAACAAATCCATGTTTTAAAGCTGTTACAATTATAAATTTAATTTTATAGTAATAAAATGTTTCTTCTACATTATACTTTATTACACGGAACTCCAAATATGAATGCATGTTTCGAATGTAGTGGAATCTACAGCAATGCTGACAGTTTACTTTAGCATTACATTTCAGGTGTTAAAAACAACTTTATCAACCTTTTTGTCTCCAATATCAATTCCAAGATAAGCATACCTGTAGTTCCACTGGTGAAACAGATTATGGCTAGATCTTCTGTTTGTGGAAGCTAAAAAGAGAGAAAAATCTCTAGTATCTTTCTTTTCAAACCAGCACAATAAAATAGCCACTATGTATACACCACTAGAAGCTACATGGTACTTACAACAGGTTTGTGTTTGTGGGCTCTTCCTGATGCCTTTGGGGAAAAAAAGATAGCAAATTAGAGCTGAAATCATGGATATTGTTTCAACAGTTGCACTGAATTTTGTTTAGACAAGAATATATTAATGGCAGAGATTACAGTTTAAAAAAAAATTAGATTCTTCATCAGACTCTTAATTCGTAAGATTCATAAACCATCATTTTACATATTCTGAGACTATTTCTCATTCTTCAAACCATCAAATCTTCAAATCAGAGGAATTACCCACTATATATCCAGTGGCATTTAATCAATTTGTTTGAATTCTTATGTGTTTGTTTGTTTTTTTCAAAATGGAAAGGAACCTGCATATTGGTCATACAGGGTAGTCCTCAACTTACAAGGGTTCATTCAGTGACCATTCAAAATTACAATGCTGCTGAATGGAGGGACTTATGACCTATACCTGAAGTTAGGGTGACTGCAGCGCCTCCACAGATATGTGAATAAATTTGAGTGCTTGGCAATCTGCCCATCATTACAACCAACTGCCTATCTTACCCCACAATCTGCCCCGCTGAGTCCCCACAAGTTTTGGGCCTGCTTCCCATCTCAGAGTCCCAAAAACCTTGAGCCTTTTCCCCCCATCACGTTTTGCTTCAAGGACCACCTGTTTAAATGTTTCAGGTCATCTAAATGTTATGCAATGCCAAGAAAAATCCTTACATTGCTAGGAGTTTGGGAGGGTTTTTTTACGTAAAGTCCAATTTAGACTTTATTAGTTGGGCAGAATATTAGTTTAGTTTTGCAACGGGCAAAAACTTTTTGCTTTCTTATTTTAATTCAGGATGTCTCACAGTAAAATATGTTTTATTTACCTCAAATTCTTTCATGCTGATGATATCTACACCACATTTTTTTCCGCGGGCCACAAGGTCTCTGTCAAAAGGATCCATTATCACAATTGTTTTAAGAGCTGATATTTCTCCTTTCTCAGTGTTATCAAGAAGTAGTTCAGCTTTCTCTGATTTGTCACAGAATACCACTGTTATATCAGCTAAATTGAAAAGAAAAAGGCTTATTAATTCAAATCTGAGTAATCAGAAATAGTTTGGATTCTATAATTAAAAAATGGGTTACCTTGTCATACTGTCCAATCAAGGTAAAAGTCTGTAATCAAATCTGGAGTAATCTGCATACTCTAATCTTAGTTGTATTTCTTTAGATCCAAATCTTTCTCTTTCTTTTTGCAGACTAGTATGACTTACCTAATGGAATTTTATTAAAAGTGCTTCTTGTATCACGCTATTCTAAACCAAACCAAACAGAGGTAGCCAGATTTACTATAATTACTCTTAATAGCAATAGCAAAAGCACTTATATACCCGCTTCTCAGTGCTTTAAGCCCTCTCTAAGTGGTTTGCAGAGTCAGTATATTGCCCCTAAAAATCTGGGTCCTCATTTTACTGACCTTGGAAGGATGAAAGGTGAGCCAACCTTGAGCCGGTGAGACTCGAACTGCCAACCTGCTGGCAGCTGGCAGTCAGCAGAATTAACCTGCAATACTGCATTCTAACCACTGTGCCACCACGACTAATGGTGGTAGAGACAAATCAATCCTAGTTTTATTGCTATAGCAGCTTTCAAAATAATTAGCATCATAAGCTAAATTATATTAGAATATTACTTCATGGAAAGAGTAGTGGAAGTTTGGAACCAAATTCCAGCGGAGGTAGTGAGTCAATCATAAATTAAACAAGTTTAAATATGCTTGGGATAAACATATGTTTATCATTGGACTAAAATAAATATAATAATATAATAAATACAATACAATACAATACAATACAATACAATACAATACAATACAATACAATACAATACAATAATAAATACATTAAAAAGAAAACAAAAGCAAACAAAAAACTCAAAGGACAGACTCAATAGATCACTGGGTTTTTTCCTGCTGTCAGTTTTCTATGTTTCTATATTCATTGATGTTCAGACTCATCAGAGTATGAGGGTTTCATTTAGTAAACTGAAGTGTTCAGAACATACCTTTATTTAAAATAAAAGTGATAGCATCTGTTCCAAGAGTATCATAGAGTGGCACCAGCACCATCGAGTAAGTATAACATCCTTGTTCAACGATAACCCACTGCAAGAAGAGCACAAAGAAGTCAGGCCTTATTTGCAAAGCTTAACTCTATAAGAAGCTCTGCTATTATATTTTCACATTGCCTTGAAAGTATTGGCCACTACGTTTCACAAAAGGTTTTTTCACAAAGGCAGTATGGGAAATTCATCCATGGAAAATACTGGTTTTTTTTCTACAATCACATAAAAACTTCCTTTTTAAAAAAAACAACCAGCATAGTACATTTGGAAAAGATGCAAATGAAGCATATTTTTATTTGTGTTTCCTAGACATATGTTTACTTATATAGTTTTTTTTCAAATAAATGTACTAAGCTATAAAGGAGATATATAAAAATAAAAACCTGGAGAAGCATCACTAGTAACCAGAATTATGTAAAAATCGTTAAACCATCATAATAATGAGTTCAAGTCCTGCCTTAGCCAGCTGGGGACTTATCATATCAGTTCCTCTCTTTCAGTCCAACTCATCTCACAGGATTGTTGTTGTGGGGAAATAGGAAAAGGAAGGTATGACGTCTTGAGTTATTTGTAAAAATAATAAGGGTGGAATACAAATAAATAAAATCTAATCTAATAAAATCTAATAATATAAAACCTGCTCTTTCATATTTGTGTACCAATGTCAGACACAAGCATTTAAATCATATTATTTCTCGTGACATTTGTACATATTATTACCTGCCTCTCTCTCTAAAAATCTATGTAGCAAACAACTCTGATTTTTATTATATTAGCTATTTTCTTTCAGAGATAAAAGATTCTCAAGTGATATTATTCCTACTTAGTTATGAGTGGCGCAGGGGTTACAATGCTGTATAGCAGGCTAATTCTGCTGATTGTCAGGATTTCAATTCTGACTGGCTCAAGGTTGACATCCTTCCATCCTTCCGAAGTCAGTAAAATGAGGACATAGATTGTTGGGGGCAATATGCAAACTATACAAACCACTTAAAGAGGGCCGTAACAGCACTCTAAATAGCGTATATAAGTCTAAGGGCTAATGCTAGTTAACAGTACAGGATATCTGAACTAAGTTTTTACACTTTTTGTTTACCACTTGGCCATTTAATGTAATAACTTTAGCACTTTAAATGGGCTAAACCACAGGTGTCAAACTCGATTTCATTGAGGGCCACATCAGAGTTGTGTTTGACCTCAGAAGGCTGGGGTGGGCATGTTCATTGTGGGTGTGGTCATTGTGGGCATGGTCAGGGTGGGCATGGTCGGGGTGGGCATTTGACACAGGCTCAAGATGCATTTTTTCCCTGATAAATTACAGAGTTTTTACAAAGAATTATTGAAGTTAGATAAAATCTTAACAGGAACAGAAGAAAGGTTACTTATTGGGTATAAAACTGGAAGAGGAAAAGATGCATTTTTCTCCTTTGCATTCAAAACAGCTATTCCAGACAAAGGGAGATTTATTTTCTGGCACAAATAGTCTCAATTCCATAATGTAGAGATAAAAGACATGTAGAATCCCCAGCTGCTATGGGGCTTGACTCTTTTGTATAGGAGCAGATCTGAATATGTGCATAATATTGTCAGAACAGAGATGTTCAAAAGCCTAATGTGAGTTAAGACAACCTAAACAATCCACAGGGTATTATATTTATACTTACTGGGTTGAATGATAAGTTAACATTTAGAACCTTAAAATACTTTTAAACAAAACAATTCATTTCTCTTTAATTCATCTATATCTCCTTTTTTGTCTTCTTCATGTATTAATCTGTCTGCCTTATTTATGGCATTTCTACATTCCCAAATAACAAAACTGTACACTCTTTGTTATTGCTTGAGCAATATTAGCTCAGGTTTCTCTTTTCCCTGTTGAATCTGTCCTTTGTAACTCTATGTAGAATACTTTAGCTGACCCTCCCATTTTTCATTTTTCATAGAGTTCTTTAAAAACATTAAAATTTTATTCCAGATACCCACTGTAAAGAGGAACACTGTACAACACAACAAAATCATCACAATATCTTGCTAAAGTCTAGAAAGATTCAGAAAATATGCATGCTGTGTGGAAACATTTCCAGGTCTATTTGGACTACAACTGGATACACAATTAAATCTCAGTGACTTCACTGAGTTTTATGCATACTTGACAAAAGCTGCCTTCTATCTGCCAGATTTGCACACTATCCAGTCATAATATGATTTGATTTTGATTCTGTGTGTTCTGTAAATCCAGCTATTTGTGTTTTACACAGTAAATCACAATTTAGAAATAACCACTGGACGTTTTCACATGACATATTGCATTAAAAAAAATCTTATAGCTTATGCATATTACCATATCCTACATCCAATCATGTCCTGTATTTTAAGTTTTTAGACTCATTATATTATTTACAAACCATTATGGGGGAGATAACACAACCCAGTTGTAACTCAAAACCAAGCAAATTACCTTATGGCAACGGCCCTGCCCGAGCTCTTCGACGTGATAGCCATGGTGGCAGTTGATACACCCAGGCTTATGGTCATGGGTGATTTCAACTTGCCGTCCATCAGTGAAATGTCTGAGATGGCTCGGGAGTTCATGGCTTCCATGACGGCCATGGACCTGACCCAGCTAGTTCATGGCCCCACCCACAGGGGGGGACACACTCTGGACTTGATTTTTATCTCTGGCCAGTGGTTGAGTGATCTTATTATAGGGGATATAGACATGGAACCCTTGTCATGGTCAGATCACTCGCTCCTTCGCCTGGACCTTCGAACCGCTACACCCCGCCGCAGGGAGGCGGAGCCAATAAGATGGGTCCGCCCCAGGCGCCTGATGCATCCTGATAGGTTCCAGATGGAGCTTGGGCCATTTCCTGAGGATCTAGTACATGACTCGGCTGAGGACCTGGTAGCCGCCTGGGATCGGGCAGCTAGTGGGGCCTTGGACCGAGTCGTGCCTTTGCGGCCTCTGACCCAGTGCCGATCTCGCGCAGCTCCTTGGTTTACTGAGGAGCTGAGGGAAATGAAGCGCCGGAAAAGACGCCTGGAGAGCGGTTGGAGGGCCAGTCTCGCTGAATCTGATCGAACACTGGTAAGGTCGCATATTAAGGCCTACCTAGTGGCGATAAAGACGGCAAAGTTTAATTACTTTTCCACCTCTATTGCGTCATCAGGGAATCGTCCTGTTTAGGGTGACCCGCTCCCTGCTCCATCCGGGAGTGCGGGAGGATCCCCGGAAGGCAGGGCGGAGGATTTCAGACAATACCTGTATGACAAAATCGCTCAGATCCGGGGGGATTTGGACTCTGACTGGGTAGATCAGGGCAGGGTGATGAGGAATAGTCTTGAGAATGTTATCTGGGAGGAGTTTGATGCTGTGACTCCCGATGATGTGGACAGGATTTTGGGGAGACTTAGTACGGCCACATGTTTACTGGACCCGTGTCCCTCCTGGTTGCTACTGGCTTCCCGGGAGGTTACACGAGGCTGGCTCCAGGGTGTTATCAACGCTTCGTTGAGTGAGGGTTACTTCCCCGCTGCCTTGAAAGAGGCGGTGGTGAGGCCTCTCCTCAAGAAGCCGTCCCTGGATCCGGCAATATTGGCCAACTATTGTCCTGTCTCCAACCTTCGCTTTATGGCGAAGGTTGTTGAGAGTGTGGTCGCGCGACAGTTTCCACAATTCCTGGAGGAAACATCTTATCTAGATCCATTCCAGTCGGATTTCAGGTCTGGGCACAGCACGGAAACGGCATTGTTCACGTTGGTTGATGATCTCTGGAGGGCTCGGGACAGGGGTTGCTCCTCTGTTCTGGTCCTGTTAGACCTCTCAGTGGCTTTTGATACCATCGACCATGGTATCATGCTGCACCGGCTGGAAGAGTTGGGGGTGGGAAGCACCATATTGGTGGTTCTCCTCCTTTCTCTCCGACCGGTCGCAGTTTGTGTTGGCAGGGGGGCAGAGGTCGACCTCGAGGCCTCTCGTCTGTGGAGTGCCGCAGGGATCGGTCCTCTCGCCCCTTCTGTTCAACATTTATGTGAAGCCGCTGGGCGAGATCATCCGTGGCTTCGAGGTGAGATACCATCAGTATGCTGATGATACCCAGCTGTACATCTCCACCCCAGGCCACCCCAACGATGCCCTTGAAGTGATGTCTCAGTGCCTGAGGCTGTGTGGATCTGGATGGGGAGGAACAGGCTCAAGTTCAACCCTTCCAAGACTGAGTGGCTGTGGCTCCCGGCATCCCGATAGTTGACTCCTGATCTGTCCCCGTCCACACACACACACAAACACAGCCAGCCGAGGGTTAAGATAACACTTTGGCACACACCCAGGTCTTTATCTCCAACTTGGCAGCGATATACACACCGTCTGCCAAGTGCATTTATTTCCACAAAACAGAAAGATAAGATACTTAGCGCACAAAAGTCCAATCAGAATAATATTCCTCTCAGCAGTTTCCGGACGAGGCTTTAGTGACTATTCAAGGTTTACTTTTGTTCGTCACAGGGATCGCTGGCCACCACCCTCTATTATATAGTCTCTGGGGTGTGGTCCAGTGACTCACTTCTAATCCCTAGCATGCCTCCTGAGCTGCTGCAATCGTTTATCACGCCTTCGGAGGCGTGCGTCAAGGAATGATGTCTCTCCCTCGCTCTCATCCGAGCCACCTGTCTCCCTGCTAATCTCTTCTCTCTCGGCCAGCACCTGAGACAGTGCCAGAGGGGAGGGGCCTGGAGAGGGATGCCTGGCTGACTCCTCTTCCTCATGCTCGTAGCTTTCTTCCTCCGATGGGACAGGCTCAGAGGCGGGGCCACAACAACTCCATCACTGACTATTGGGGGCGAGTCCTTGGCCCCCACAGAAAGGGCTCGCAATCTGGGAGTCCTCCTGGATATGCAGCTGTCCTTGGAGGAACATCTGACGGCTGTAACCAGGGGGACCTTTTATCAGGTTCGCCTGATTCGCCAGTTGCGGCCCTTTCTTGATCGGGATTCCCTGTGCACAGTCACTCACGCCCTCGTCACCTCTCGCCTTGACTACTGCAATGCTCTCTACATGGGGCTCTCCTTGAGGGGCACCCAGAGGCTCCAGCTGGTCCAGAACGCAGCAGCGCGGGTAGTGATGGGAGCAGCATGGCGCTCCCATGTAACACCGCTCCTGCGCGAGCTGCACTGGCTCTCGGTGGTCTTCCGGGTGCACTTCAAGGTGTTGGTTATCACCTTTAAAGCATTCCATGGCATAGGGCCTAGCTATCTTCGAGACCGCCTGCTGCTACCGACGACCTCCAAGCGACCCGTGCGCTCCCACAGAGAGGGCCTCCTCAGGGTGCCATCAGCCAAACAATGTAGGCTGGTGACCCCCAGGGGGAGGGCCTTCTCTGTGGGGGCACCTACCCTCTGGAATCAGTTGCCCCCAGAGGTAAGGAGAATCCAAGACCTCAGTGCCTTCCGCCGTGCCCTTAAAACCCACTTTTTCCAGCAAGCCGGGCTGGCTTAAGAAGAAATTTTTTAAATTTTTTAAATGTTTAATTGGTTTGTGGTTTTTTAAATTTTTGGGCCAAATTTATATATATTTTAATTGTTTTTAATATTTGTATTTCATGTTTTTAATTCTGGCTGTGCACCACCCTGAGTCCTCAGGGAGAAGGGCGGTATATAAATTGTAAAATAAATAAATAAATAAATAAATAAAAATGAAGAAGGAGAGGCATCTCGGATGACTAAGAGGAACGGGCAAGTCCCTCAGAAAGTCAGAGATAACTCTTTGATCCGGTGGCGGGGCGGCGGCCATTGCGACCGTCATGAAGCTGGGGTAACTGGAATAAGAATTGTGCAGGAGCGGAGTTTTGGCACCAGGTGAGTGATTGGCCAACTCACAGGTAATAAAGAAACAGTTGGAAATTTTTAAAAGAAGTCCCGGTGTGGAAATAGCAGCTAATTAGCACCGGGGAATGTTAATCGAGTGAGAGGAACAAAGCCGAAGTAAAAACACTAAAGCCCAAAACGGAGTTTGATATTTGAAATTGGAAATTGGTTTTGGAGAGATTAAAAGTATTACAAGAAAAAGAAACTTGAAAGAAAATACTTTTGGAACAGGATTGGATATAAACTTTAAGAAAAAATTTGAATTTTAATGGAAGAATAAATAAAAACTTAAAATAGAAAAGCCCTGTAAAGGATTTCAATTGGATTTGAATTGTGTAAATTTTGAATTTGGAATATATAAAAATTAAGAAGAGAAAGAAGAAATTAGAAAAAAAGTTTTGACAAGTGGATTTAATATACAAATTGGATACTTTGTTAAGTTGTTGATTTGAAACTTGTGGATTGGAGAGAGCTATCATCTGGTGAAAAAAAAGCACTACATTGAATACTTTGAAATTCGAGGGGGGGGGGGAATACAGCGACCTTGATCTACGAGCCGTGAGAAGTTTTAAGGAGGATTTGTTTTCTATTCAGCTACTGGACTTTGATAACTGAAGGAGGTAGAAAATAATAAAATTTTAAATTGGAGTTAAAAACTAATCAGAATGTCAAAATGTGGCAAAAGCTAATTGAGATGGTTAAAATGGTATGTGTATCATTTGATTTGGACAGAAAGAAATCAAGAATTTTGTCAGAACATATTCAACTGGATAAACAGGCTATCAATGAGACGCAAGAAAATAACACTGAAAATAAAGATATTGATGAAAAATTAAATTACATTGGGAGTAACAATGAAAAAAAGAGAAGGGTTAGGAGGACACAACCAACAAAAAAGAAGCAAATTAAGAGAAGAAAAGAGAAAAAGAAAAGATTAGAGAAAAACATTTTTAATAATTACACTGGGATTAACAGTGGTAAAAATAGAGAGGGTAGAAAGAAACAAAAGAGACAAGAAAAAGGAAAAAAAATTAAATGATTACACTGGGACTAACAGAGGGGAAATAAGGAAGGTGAGAGGAGAAAAGGGGAATAGATCAGATGAGAATATAGGGCAAACTAAGCGAGTAATGGATTTAAGAGTTAAAGGAAGGAAACAGGAGAAAAAAGATAATAACTATAAAAAGAAAAAAAAGAAAATGGGTGGTTTGCTAGATGGACCAGGAGAAAATGGCTAAAGGGAGTAATTAATAGAAAGGAGGAAGGATAATATGATATATATGTATGGTAATAATTGTATTATGATTACTATTGGTGATTGTAATAACTGAATACATTATGAAATGTATTCTGTAATATGAATGGTAGAATGTAGAAAAATAATGGTTCTGAAATAGAAAATGAAATATTCAGAAGGGGTTAAGAGATGGAAATCTAAATGAAATAGAAATGGAATAATTATATTATTATTATTATGTACAGATTTGAATGAATTGTATTAATATTAGGATTGTAAAAATTAAATTTATGATTGGAAATGATGATATAAATTGTGTAATATAAAAAGATTTATTTAGAAGGGGAAATTGAAATTGAAATTGAAATAGAATAAGATATTTTTACTTAAAAATGGTGATGTGAAAATTTTTTCAGGAAATATATTGTTAAAATGCTAAAATGATTAATAAGGAAATATGATAAAATAAACTGGTCCACCTTTGGAAAACAATTGATATTAAGAAATAATTGGGAAATATTAAAATGATTATGTTTAAAATTAAAGGGTTTCAATAGAATAAAGAAATATTGAAAAATATATGTGATAAAGGGAGAAATAAGAGAATGAAATGAAATAAGATTAAGACTAGGAGGTTAGGGCGGATTAAATTTGGGGAAAATAAGATGTATAACCTGGTCAATACTCTATTCAGAAAAAATGTATGTTTGTTTGTTGTAAAAAAAAAAAAATGTTATTAAAAAAAATAGCGACCAAGCTCACACCTACAATGTCATTATGTGTTAGGCATAAAAGACTTACACTGTAGCCCACACAATGGCTGGAGATATGGACATAGATACCTAACACTAGATTAAATTTAGGCATGTAGATTACTGAACATGGAGTACAAAGGAATTAGAAAGAAAAGGTACGTATAAAACTATGGGTAAATAGACATTGTATCAAACTTCCTGCACAGAATAGAGCATAACTAGAATACTTCTTTATATTGAATATTGAGAGCTATTTTATTATAGGAAACTAAATTAATGGATTAACCAAGTAACATATTGCAATGAAAACTACGTATTATTTCATCATGTGTCTATATTTCCAACATTATAAACTCCTGGGTAAAGCTGATAAAGTAAGGAATAATATGACAGCAAGAAAAACATAAAAAATAAACTGAGCCAGTATTTGCATATGTAAAACACTTAACTATCATAATTAAAACTCAGTTTTGTGATCTGCAAAAGTACAGTGGCCTACGTGAACTCATATAATATTAAAAACAACAATAACTATCCACTATTTCTAAAGGCCTGTCAGAAGCAACAGTAGTTGCACTAATTTATCACTTGTTTCACGCTACCAAGATTTATGAGGTTCAATTAAACACAGAATTACGGGCAATTTACAGAAATACTAGCTTCGGCTAGGTAAGCAAAACTGTATCTTTCAAGGGAAAACAAAAGAATCTCAAGCAGTACAAAAGCCAACAGGAGGACAGGAATCATGCCTATCAGGGCAGATTCTCCACAACTAGGAACATTTGACTGAACATTACAGCTCTATTTTTAAACATTCTTTTTTAATAGGATTTATTAGACTAATGATCTTTGATTACCTCAGGTCTGTTCTGGGAGAAGAGTCCTATGAACTGGTCAGGAGATGATTTGATGCCTCTATTAAGAAGGGCTGAACCAACACATTCTGCTTTTTCTGCAACCTGGGTGGGTGGGGATATGGGTAAGAAGAAATGACAAATGCCTTCATTAGTACAGTTGGATATTTATGGTTTGAAAGTTCCTTGTAATTTTATTCAATAATGTCTAATCCCTGAACATACTTTATATACATGCTAATACATTACAATAGGATGAAATTCTCCTTAAGAAAGGAGATGTCTAAATGAAGCTTGATGAACGGGTGTGCAGTGTTTGGAGCCCAATTGTGGTTGAATTAAGTTTTGCTTCTGTGCCTTCTCTAAAGTTGAGGTTTTATAGATGACTAATATATGCTATCTTCACTCAAAATACTAGTTGATTAGGAATCATTAAGGCTTAATTTCTAGTGATACTGTATGAAAATGGGATTTTTTTTCCCTTTAAAAAATGGTATATTATCAAAAGGAGAGCCAGTTTGCTGTAATAGTTAAAGCATCAAGCTAGAAACCGGCTATGTGATCTTAAACTAGACTCTCAGCCCTTGGAAGAAGGCAGTGATAAACCATTTCTGGAATTTTGCTAGGAAAACTGCAGGGACTTGTCCAGGTAGTTGTCAGGAGTCAAGACTGACTTGAAGGCACCCAAAAATCAATCAATCAATCAAAACTATCCCTTGTTCTTATTTACAGTATAATTAATTTGTGACAAGAACTCCTGATTCTCTTCATTTTTATCTTCATTTTTCTTTTCTTTTCTTCTTTTCAACCTATCCAATTCTTGGTAGCATCTCCTCTCTCTTTCTCTTGTATTCTTTGAGTTCCCCCAGCTTTCCAGTTATTTTCCATTTAAGGAAAGGTCAAATTAACACTTTATTTGCTCTGATAGAATACATCTAATATATCATTGCATTCCAATCACATACACATTTGCCTATCCACTTACCTCCTTGTAAGAAATCCATTCATATGGCTGATTTGGTTTCCTTACACCCAAACAGGGTCCATTGTCTGTAGAGATTTAAAGTTCAAAATGATAAATAAAATTTAAAAATAAGTAAAATGAAGCACCAAATAACATTCAATGACTAAACACCTCAGTTCTGGATTTTTATATTAGAATATTAAAATTCAAATTCATGTCGCTAGATTCCATTTCCCAGAGAATTGATATACAGGATTCATAAGTTATCTAATTTCAAATGTTAATTCTCAAGTCCTATGGTTTTCAGTTTCAGTATCTAGTGATTGGAACCAGTGTATATGGATGTTCATATCTGGCTAACTGGTATGGCTCCATGAAAGTCTGTAAGATATGCTCCTTCCAGAATTATTCTTCCTTTCCAAATGATCAATACTCACTTGACACATGCATGCCCCTTTGGAAGATTTCATAAGCCGTTCTCACATCATCATAATAGTAAACAAATGGCTCATCATTATCAATTAGTGCAGAGCGTCTGGCATACTCTCCACCCTGTATGAAATGAAGTAAAACACATATACTTCTGTACAACCTCTGTACAGCTTTTTCTGTGATCATGCACAACAAACACCATGTAAAAATTAGACATACACACATGACACATACTACTTTCAATTTGTTTCTAGCCCGGTGTCAAGGGAAATCATTTACAGCTTGTGTTAAAGTTATATTAAAGCTACAAATCACAATACTTAGTGTCAATAATTTAATTTGACTGCATGTTCTAGATGAATGGAAATGTAAGCTCAGGAGTAGAATTATTCCTGTTAACTTTTTAAATAGGCTTAACTAATGTAAATTTAAATAGGGTAAATTATTTATTTCCACTATTACTCGTACTCTACTACATGTCTTACATTTGATGTTATTGTAGCTTTAAGAAGAAAAGGCTGTTTTTCCTTTGTTCCTTTTGTTGTTTTACTACTTACCACTTTTTCTCAGCTAGAAAGGAAACAATGGCAAACCATTTCTGAAATAAATTGCCAAGAATGCTGCAGGGACCTGGCCAGGCAGAGTCGGACACAAATGAAGGAAACAAAAATATATACTTCTATTGCCACCTTAAAACCCTATTGCCTTTCATAAAACCTACATCCCAGTGGTGAAATGTAAAATTTGTTACTACCAGTTCTGTGGGTGTAGCTTGGTGGTGGTGGTGGTCGTAATATGACTGAGTGGGCATGGCCAACTTTTTTTTTTACTTTTAAAACCATTTTTTCTACAACCACTTCGGCTGAAGAGATTGTAAAAAAATGCTTTTGAAAGCCTCTGACGATCCGAGCTGACTTGCCTGATCGGCAGAGGCTTTTTTTCCTTTTAAAAACATTTTTTTCTATAACCTCTTCGGCCAAAGCGGTTGTAGAAAAAATGCTTTTAAAAGCCTCTGATGATCCCAGCTGAGCCGGCAATCATCAGAGGCTTTTTCTTTTTACTTTTAAAAGCATTTTTTCGGCCAAAGAGGCTTTAGAAAAAATGCTTTTAAAAATTAAAAAAAAAGCCTCTGATGATTGCGCGATTCAGCTGGGCAATGGGGGGGGGGGTGCAGAGATTTTTGCTACTGGTTCTCCGAACCACCCACCTCCATCACTACCGGATCAGGTGATCCGGTCCGAACCGGGAGCATTTCACCCCTGCTACATCCCTATTTTTGTTCTTTCATGTTCCCTCATCCTTAATTTCCTTCTCTGCTTTACCATTGTTACTTAAATACATCTTCAACATTATTGAATGTTGAGTAATGTATTGATAGCTTGTATCAAAATGCTGAAGGTGGAAGGAAAGATTAAAAAAAACATTCCCCATGTTTTGGGAAATGCTGTAGCAAGCTCATAAGAAACTCTTGAACCAGGGAATTCCAAATTGTAATTCTGGAAACTCTGCCAATTACCATTCTGCAAATTACACAATAGCTGTCTTTTTCCCATGTCTAGTATAGCAGCAATGGTGAGGTGGAAGGTAGAATTACACAATTATTAGTCAGAGTCTTCACTGAGAGGTTGGGGTCTGGATGACAACATCAGTAGTTGCACACAAGCTCTATTGCAGGTGCACTTCTGAAGAGGAAAAAAAATATGGGAGCATCTGTCTATGTTAGAGGAACACATTGTACTGCATCTGGCTGGACAATATTTTTGTTGATTTGGGCAGATCATTTCAGCCTAGGCAGTGACATGGATTGTCAACCTCTCATTTCAGCCATATCTTTGATGTTTCTAACACATTGCCAAATATAGGCATTGCTTACTAAGTTATGAAAAAGTATCAATTAGTATTAGCAGTTACTGTTAAGAAAATTGCTCTGCTGACTCTGTTTAAAACAATATCATAATTTCAAACCCTGCACAGCACAGGATGGGAAGATGAGAAATATAGAAAACTTTATTTGCTCCTCTGTTACCAAACAGGTCAGAAGGCCAGGATTACTGTAACATCAGCAAGTGCACATAATAGACATTTTGAAAGCATGTATATAATATAGAGGGAGAAATTAAATATCCAATAAGTACATCCTGGTCTCTTTTAGCCACTTTGGAAAAATATACAAGCTAGTTCATGAGCTAAGCATCACATGAAGCTGAGACTGTGGACACCAAAACAGAAAGGTTGTGCTCCCTTCTTAATGCAGGAGGAAAACATGTTAGGAAATCTCCATTTCCAGGTATTCTTGGTGCCTTAAAGGCAAGACATTATATGTGTCTGTGTGCTCTATGAATACCTGCAGGAGAGAATTCTATCCTTGTGTATCTCAGAAATTTGACAGGAGGCCTAGTATATAATAATGGCTATTTGTTGTTCTAGAAACACAAATTTTGAAGATACCTCCCCCCTCAGCCTCTGCAATCTTTTGTGAAGTTCAAATCCTCTGGTTGAGAGAGATGGAAAGTGCAAATTTACCCAAGATCAGACAAAATCTGTGGGGTCATGAAGACTATTGTGAAATTAAGCAATTTCTATTTTGAACTCTGCACTTGCGAATCAATATCTGGCCAGATCAAATATTTGAAAGCTGAATTCCAAGAGATTTCAAGAAAGAACCAGTAACTACTTCATCAGAAGAAATGCAAATATCTTTTTTGCATTACCAAAAAATATTAAATATTTAGGCTTGAATGCATTGTTGGAATAGTACTATTGAATGGTTGATCTCAGTGAGACACAAGATGCAGCATGTTCCTTATGACAACTGTCCACTAATAAGCTTATATTTCCCAATAATTTTAATGTTATGCATGTGAAATAATTAGCTTAATACTATTTGCTTATTTGTGCAAAAATAAAATCTTGGGTCAAGTACTATATTTTTCATGAGCTTCAATATGCAATCTGGACATTTTTACATGTAAACATCCTTGCTTGAAAAAGAGACTTTATATATGAAGGTGGCTTCCACATGTATAACAGATGCATCACTAAATCTCATGAGGGTTCAATTAAGTTATCAGCTGCATCTCACTATGAATGTTGCTGTAGAATACCATCCAACTACCAAACATCATGACCAATGTTTGTCTGAATTAAGAGACAATCGTTCTTCATTAGATGGCAAGGCATATGGACTCAGTCAACAGAAGATAGTAAATGGGATTGTATTTTGCCTGGTTGTAAGTATAAATCACACGTCTAGAGTCCTAGAATTCTACTGAAACAAAGAAAATAATGCAAAGTTCAATCATAGCTCATGACTGCAATAGTCTGAAGAGAGCAGAGGGAACTGTAGCTTAGCCATTCTTTAACAGCTTGATCTTTTTTCCCCAAATCTAGTTATGCTTTAGGAGAAAAAAATGTTGGCAACCTCCAAGATTGCCTAAGGAATCTTAGGCAGGTTTTCCGAAGGAAATTTCGTGAGTACCTTGTTTAAGCTTCAAACGAGAGGTGCTTTGAATCGGCGTTGTACCCCTCCTACAAACTCTACTGTCCATATTCTACAAGACTTTACACTAGTAGTCTGTTGGTCAGCTAAGAAAATTCAGGTTCTACTGCTTGCACTAAGCACAAGATGCAAGATGCAAAACAATGTTTCTCAGTATCAGAGCCTTTAAGATGTGTGTACTTCAACTCCTAGAATTCCCCAACCAGCCATGCTGCTTCTTTAAAGGTGCCGATTGAAAAATACTGATGTAAAGTATTATATAGACCTGAATTGCCCTTTTTAATCAGTTACAAAACATTTTATCTAAATATATTCTTTTATTTTAAAACCTTAAGCTCTTTTTTGTAAAGACTAACTAAAATTACCATGGCAGACCTTTTTATGAAGTAAATAATCAAAGAAATAGAAATGCATGACTGCTTACCTCTATTTCTACAGACTGCATAGCTAAGTCACATGGTGGTTTCAGAGCTTTAGGTCTTGTGGCATACCAGTAAGTTGTCAGGGCTGCAAAAGCACCAAACCCCATCAGTGTGTTTGTCGGAAGAGTACGTACATATTGCCTTACATCGCCCAGTTCTGGCATTCGCAGATGCCGAAACAATTCATGGGCTTGCATTGTGATAGGCTGCATTTATTCAGTCTGCTGCAATCTGTGCCTGCTGCAATCTGTTGACAAAAAAGAGGAGAAGTGAGCCCAATCTCATATGGAATAAATGAAGCCTTCCTCTTCTCTGAGGGAAAGTATGTATCTTCCAACACCATACCAACTTAGAAACATCTACAGGTAATCCCTCACTTATGACCAGTCACTTAGCGACCATTTGAAGTTACAATGGACCTCCCCAGAACTACTTACAATCCAGTTTCAAAGTTCTAAGAGCTTCCCCACCCCCTGGCCATGTGGTCCCGTTTGAGGGACTAAATAACTGATACCCATTTACATCTATTTGCAATGTCCTGTGGTCACATGACTATGATTTACAGGGTTTTTTTGGTCAAAAAGCAGCTTTTACTTCTAGTTTTTGGTAAAAAAAAAAATCCACTGGGTAAAATGTTTTCATTTAATGATTGCTCCAAAAAAGATCATAAAATTGTGTGTGATCATGTGTGACCTACTTAACAACTGACACAATTTATTATCATTAATCTAGGCTCAATTATGATCATAAGTCAACGACTGCCTGTATATTCTACCCAACAGTGAAAAGTATCTTTCTATGGCAGAACTTTTAAAAACAGAGACTGCCAAATGACATACTTTAGTAGAGTGATGGCTAACCTTTTCTGGGCTGAGTGCCCAACCCACGCCTGCACATCCGAACCCCCCAAATGCAATGCGTGTGCGGCCCCCTGCACATGCCCCACCCCCCGCATGTGTGTACAGCCCCCCGTGCATCCGCATATGCCCCCCGTGCACGTGGCCCACCCTGTGCATGCGTGGCAAAGACCCAATTACCAGCTGGACAATGGGAAGGCCGCACACATGTGCAGTTGAGCTGAACTGGGGCGATGGCTCATGTGCCCATAGAGAGAGTGCTGTGTGCCACCTGTGGCACACATGCCATAGGTTCACCATCACGGCTTTAGTAGATATACCCTCCAGGGTTTGAACATATATTTGTTTGCATTTTTTGTATCTACTTTAGGCTGAAGGATATATTGCCTTAAAATAGTTTTAAAAAGTTGCTCTCTGACGAAACTTTCTTTCAAGCTCCTTAAAAGCTGCAATGCATTTTTTAAACCATGAGCTTACTTGACCTGCAATCCAATTTATAAGGTTTTTGTACATGACTTGACACCCTGGCAACAGAACACTGAAGGAATTTTCTTCTACTTGTCCCTTTAAATCTCCAATTGGGACAAGGAGAAAAAAAAAAAGAGCAAAGATTTTTTAAAATTCTGTTTAAAGTCCTGGTGTGTCTGTTCAGCTTATGTTTCGCTCTGCTGCCAAGGTCTCTTAGAACATCCGTCACATGCTCACCCTTACATTTTTTTGCCCACTAGGCCAAAGTTTACCAGCAGACAAAATGCATACTTAGCTTTGAGACAAAGTGGGCCAATGGAAACAAGAGTCTGATGCCATCCCACTGCACGCCCCACGGAACGTGGCATGCAAAGAAACAATGTTCACCTCAGAAACACACAATTGGCAGCAACATTCCTTACTGTCCATCAACAGCTTATTCTTATCCCCAAACAAAACATGGAAAGATCAGTTATAGACAGTTTTGATCTACTAAGGCAGCAGATGTTATGAAAACAAGGGTAGAAAGCCTAACATCTATCTATTTTTCATAGTTACCTACATGCTAACAGACTCTGAAATCTTGCAGCCTCTCCCTCTGGACAGTCCTGAGTTTAAACTGAGGAGCAGACCTCCTCTGTGTCACCATATTCACCCATAAGAGTAATTACAACTAGAATTTACTCAGTTCTCCTGGAACAACATTTCAGAATCTTCTCATGAATCTGGGATCCTTCCTTCTCTGCAATACAGGGATAAAATTGATCTGCTTTGGAATTGTTGGTAAATATCACAGAATGCTTTGATCACTCAGAAACATGGCATATAAGCCAATGATTACCAAATCATTATCAATTCTTTATTTCAGGTCAGCAACTCAGACAGAATGAATCATATTAAATAAAAACCTACACAGTGGAACCACAGGATAGAACATACAGATTAAAATAAAGCACACAAGATAGAAGACCTGCAATTCTCCTTCCACTATTTAGTTATCAGCAATATACAGGTTTTACAAGCTATGCAGTGCAGTGGCAAGAGTTATCTTTGGGTCTGCTAGTAGAAATTGTATTTACATTTTTTTGAGTCCGTTCCAGAATTAAAATTACAACAGGTGTCAGGAACTCTTTGCATATGCCTTAATAAGAAATTAGAAAATAACAATGAGTTTGTGTTTCAGTATTACCATAAATTCAAGATCAAAGCCTTTCCAAATATGGAATTTTATGAAATTTTCCCTCAAGCTAATATTGAACCATTGTTATGTAAAGGCTTCTAGTTGAGAATTGATCTAGGTACAATGTTGCCTTATAATGTTCACAGCTGTGTTCCAATTGTAAGATAAGCAAAAGTTTACTATATTCTGACAAATTCTTTATCAAGGATCCTTTGCTTAAGAATCACCATTGCCTGATTTTATCCCATAGGCTTGAGTATCTCCCTTTCAATATATATATATTCCAAATTGAGAAATATATATATTTCAATAAATTGTATTCGAATTGTATTTATCGATTATTAGCTCTGTCAGATTTGGGGCTAAAGTGAACCTTTAGTCAATAAGGTGCATAACTATGCCCTTGTTTCAACTTTTGTAAGTCTTGCTTCCAGCTACTAATGATTAGTAATACAACACGTAAATTTTGATTCTTTCCATTTCCCTATGTCTTTAATATTCTGAATAAAATATCTTTCTCCTTAGCTTCAAGCTGAATCGTTCCCAAGTTATACCATTTTTGCTAGACCAGTTAGATTTAGCTCCACTGTAATGTATTTTTGAGTAATTTCTATGTTCCTCACTGTAACAAAATCCTATTTGCACTAATGCTGCTGCTTACTGTTTCAGCACATATTTCCATACATAAAGCGTAAAGTTGCCCTGTGAACCACTTTAAAAATGTGACAATGAAAGATAAGATTTTGCTCAGTCAATTTATTCAGTGCTTTTCCAGCCATGCTAAGTAGTTGTACCTTACAAGTATTTCTGCGAGCAAGGCCATTAGATTGGTAAGAAAATAATTTTTAAAAAACCTAAATGTTATCCAACAGGAATACTTTAAAGAACATCAGGTTTTAATTTGAATAGATATGGCTCTTAATTTTTCTATAATCCAATGGCCAAACTTCTTTTTCCAGAGTATCCAGCCAGCACGGCCAGGATCCCAAAAATCCAGTGGGCAACAGGCTGTGAAAAACTGGGTAATCTAATCTAACCTCTTCTTTTCACATAAACATCAAACACACAAACACTTCTCTTATGCATGTCTTACATACATAAGAAAAGCTCACATTAGGTATTGAGCTATAATATGACTGTTCTAAAGGCACTATTATGCAGTGTTTTTATTTTCAACCTCTTAAGATTCCACAACAGAGATGTGGATTCATGTGTCTAAGTCAAAATCAAAGGCATATTACGGCTTAGTCATTATATGTGAACCAGATCAATACCTTCTAATACTGTTGTCCAAGCAGCAAATACCTAAATGCAGGGTGAGACAAACTTTTTGATTATACATTCATAGCTATAACTTTAATTCAACAAATAATTTGATCATTATCCATTTACCCAACTTTTAGCTTTGAAACCTGTCGGTGAAAGAACTATGTACTGGGAGCTCTGACCCTGTCTCGTATATCTTGCTTAGCTAGTCAAATGAATACTATGCTTCCAGCCAAAAAAAGCCCCTTGACACACGCCTAAGTAAAATACTGAATCAGCCAAGATGTGGTCTTTTCAGCTGCGCTCAGTTTAGCAACCCTCATCCAAGTTGACTCAGTGTACTCATTCCAAGCTCCTCCTCCTCCTTTTGCCAAGTACAATCATCTATTTACAGAGAGCAGAATGCTCTTCTATTGTCTGCCAGTAGGCAGACATCATTCGAGGGCAACTGCCAACTTCTTCAGTATAGTGCTACCCCAGAGGAGCCAATGGCTTTTCTCCTTCTAGCTTTGCTGATTAAGTTGGGGGGGGGGGGGGCGGCAAAATCTATATTGACTTGTTTAATCAGGATCATTGTTCTAGAAATCAGCTCCACCCCATGCTAAGTATGACGCTTTTAGCAACCACGCTATTCATTCATTACTTTCAGATTGGGGTGAAAGATATGCCATTCAAATTAATACATAGCATTGCATTAATCCTCTGCAGCTCTTTCCCCATTTTTAAACAAATCTATCTTAAGTTTTGTGGAGGAGTTGACAGACATCAAACTAATTTAGGGAAGTGTCAGCTGAAAGAGGACACTTTTCCATTATTCTTAAATGGCATACTGCAAGACAATTACTTAACAGCCCAATCCTGGGGCAGAAGTCCAGTTTTGCTTAATAACTCAAACTGGGACACAGACAAGGAAAATCAAATGTTATTTTAAAACTACTGCCAAGTCAATCAAAGGTGATGTTCAATTCATGCCAACATCGGGCAAAACAACCTACCAGGTTCTTCTGTCCCTCAGCTTGGAGATCTCATGGACATTGGCCATCTTCTGTTTGATTAGCAGAGGCATTTTTTGCAGTTGCCCCAATGTGAGGAAATTTAAAAAAAAAATTTATGTGGCTAAAGTTACTTTGTCTTGGTTGCCTTAATAAAATTAAAGTAGGGAGTCAATTGATAAGTTAAATATTGCTATGGGCTGATGACTGCTTAAATTGTTCAAATTCATTGACATACTATCAGTTAGCAATAGTAATAGAAAGACCTCCCTGCCCCTTCCCACTTACAGCATCAAGCAGGAATGAATCTAGTAACATTAAAAAAATAATTTGTGATACTGCACAAAATTTTTAGTGGCTGGGCAGAGGCACATATCAGAGCTGACCACTAGTTCCTCTTGTTAAATGTAGGAAATATAAAATATGTCCTTCATGTGATCAGCTGTCTACTATGTAACTTCCTGATAAGGCACTGAGCTAAATTTTAGAGTTAAAAGACACACTGCTGCATAAACTAGTTGGCATCATATTTTAAACTCCTGAAACCTCTAAAAGAAAGCCATTCAGAAAAACCAAAATCACATTATGGGTTATTTTTGGTATGTTGCTAACATACACTTGAGCAAAATTTCACATCACCAAATCCAGCAAAATTTTTATGAAGTCCTACTTAGCTTTTCAAAGAAAGCTTAAGCAGAAACATCTGCATTCTTGCACTTCTTTTTAAATACTTTCAACTGGCCATTATTATAGTTATGTTGCTGATTGAATTAGACAAACATTAATCCACTTACTAATCAATAAACAACAGACTGAGCACTTTTCTGTAGTTTCTAAGAAACATTCACCATATTTTAATCAGGGGGCGTTCTACAACAGCAAAAAAATTAATGGAACACTTCCTACATTTGTATTCCTTTGTAATTGAAAAGAATTATTAAAATAGTATCTTAGCCTATAAAAAGAGCATTATGATGGTTTCATTTGAGAAATAAAATATTGCTATAGTTGTATTCAGATAACTTATTGTCTTTATGGATTTCTTTTCTGGATTCATACAATACGAAAGACAGATTCTTGTTGAACCTTTTGGAAAACTTCCAAACAGTAGAAATAATTTGATGATTGGACAGCCAAACCCATACAGATGACAAGTTCTTATCTTCTGGATGTATTTAAGCAGAGGACGGATGACCATCTGTCATAAATGCTTTATTTAGACTTGGATATGCTAATGGTTTAACTGCCCCTTCATATACTATGATTTTATAAATACCACATAACTATAAAATCATCACTATAAACAAGCTTTTCCCTCTAAGATTTTGCCTTCCTGAAAGCAAGTTTTATTTCTTTGAGGCAGGGTTGACAGTACCTAAACTTCAAAGACAAAGTTATAATTTACGTTGTTTCACCATTCCTACAGATTCATAACCTAGATCCGACCCAGTATTTATTTTTATCACAGTTCCAAATCTAATAGTAAGTCTAACGTGTTGCACCTTAATAAGGAGATTTAAGTGGTTGAGCAAACATCACAATTAATAGCTGGCTCTGCATTGCTTCAGAACAGCAAATAATTAGGCCACAAATTCTGTTCTCAGAAGCCAGTATTTAAGCAGCACTTCATTAAAGGCAAACAAACATGAGTTTCAGAGCATTAGTGTCAAAACCTTGAGAAATTGGTATATTGGAAACCACAAAAAGGCCATTAGTATGACCAAACAGACTTGCCTGTAAAGACAACCCCGAACCAGGCATTAGAGCTTGTATTATTACATGCTTTTATCTGAAACTAGAATTAAAGTATAGTATCCATTGTGAGTAAAGTTTGATAGCAGTTTTCTCCATGAATAAAAATAGGTTAAAATATGGGTGACTGTCACTATACTTTGGGATAACAAATTCCATAAATCAAATGTAGCTGCATGAAACGTTTCAATATTACAAAAAAACCCTTCCACTCCATGCATAATTATACCCATCACTATCCTGTCTCTATTCAGTCTTTTTAAATTCCTAGATGAAAAGTGGTTTGCTTTCTGCACTTTTGATGGGCGCTCTCTCCTCTCTCTTTCTCTCTCTCTCTCCACACACACGGTATGATTATATCAACAATTAAGATACTGGCAAATTTATTTATATTCTTTTTTTAATGACATCCCATGCAGAAGCACAAACATCTCCAGCAAACCAAAACTCCATCACACGCAGGGCCGGATTTAGATGAAAAGAGGCCCTAGGCTATTCCACTTATGAGGCCCTTTCACCTATAGTGAAAGTGTAATTTTAATTTTGCTAACAATTTGAATGTAGGCCCCTCTTGATCTTGAGGCCCCCTCTTGATCTTGAGGCCCTAGGCTGAAGCCTAGTTAGCCTATAGGAAAATCTGGCCCTGATCACACGTACACAGTCCATCACACATTGTACATATGTGCAATTACAAAAACTCTGTCTGTATATACTTGCATCTTATGTTTAAAGCAATGTTTAAATGTTTAAATCATGTTTTGGCATAAAGAGGTCATGACGTATGTTTCATCAAGCCTTATACCCTTTGCAGACCACTTATACATTTTTATCCATGGCATTTTTATCCACACCAACTGCACACTGCATAGTGCTCAACCACAAACTTAAGATCTTTTTTCTGGATTCTTGTCACCAATTCAGAACCTATATGTGAAAGGAGATTAATTTTTGACCCAGTGTGCATTTGTCTATGCTTCATTAAACTGAGTCTTATGCTGTTTGTAATCTGAATCCCTTATCTAGAGTTTGGAGGTTTTTGTTTAGATTTATGAAGCATTAGCACGAGCACATAGAGATGTTATTGGTTTAATCTACCACTGGGAGAATTCACTATGTATTTCTACTCCTTGTTTCCTCTTCTTTGTCCAGCTACTAATCCAGAAGAGGAGCTTTCTCTCTTTTTAATCCCATGACTAGAATCTGGCCATCAAACTAAAATAGCCAAGACCAGACATCATTAATAAATGTTAAATGTGATCTGGCTGTTCCGGTAGTATCCAATATGGTGATATTTTGAGCGTCAGAATAAAACCCCAGCCTTTCCTCTTGAAGAAGAAAATCCCAATGTTGATAGCTGCAGAAGAAGCAACAGGCTTGGTTAATTACAGCCACATTAGTAGCAGCAGCAGCAACAAGAACAAAAGATTCTGTAATCTGCTCCAGAGAATATCATTTCTGGAGCAATTTAATCTCTGGAAATATATATGGACAAAGAAAAATCAACATTTTAATTGCAACTCTTAAAAGCACCAGGTACTTCCAGAAGCTTCAAAAGGGATGGAAAAAGCAGTGGGAAATAGGTGTGACAAGACATAGTGGATGTCTTGCCTAGGAGTTCATAGGCAAAGTGCCATAACTGCAAATTACCTTGTCACTGCAGGAGTGCTCCATCAAACAGATGTGATTTAAGCCAGCCAGAGCAATATAATTCCCTTGACAAATTCAGATAGAACGAATTTACAGCAGGGGTCAACAGCTTTTGACTCAGTCCTTCTCCCAGGCCTAAACATCAAGTTTTTGAGTGAAAGACTGATGTATCTTCCAAATGCGGTGGAGGAAAGGCACACGGATCCCATCTAACAACTCTCCTGTAAATCCAAGATCCCCGTGCAGCAGAGGTGCGTTCAGCAGAACAAAAGCCAAACCATTTCCACCTCCCCGTTGCAAACATTTGTGCCTTTATTATCTCCCCGAAATCCAATAATCCCAGACAACCCCCTCACCTCCCCCCAAAGGGGGGCTTCGTTGAACGCAAAGGAAACCATCGCCGCAAAATAACCCATTTCCTGCCCGCGCTGATAGGCTGCATCCAGCCAATACCGACCTAGAAAAGATCCTATTGCAGTCCTTGTCCGATCCGAGGGGCCAGGGAGAGAAAGCGCCTCTCCAAGCGGCCTAGAGAAGGGGGAGGCCCCACCTTTATGCCCCCGGCTCCCTGACGTGCGGCTCCCTTCCTTCACTCGCCCGGCTCCCCGCCCCCTTTTCCGGGCGCAGCCAGAGGCAGCGGTGCAACTGCGGCGCCGGCCGGGCAGGTTAGGTTGGTCGCAGAAGGGAGGAAAAGACTAAGGTCCGCCCGAGCAGGCAAGGCGGCGGCAGCTAGTGCAGAAGCGGGAAAATCCCCGCTGCCCTCCAGAAGCCTGGGCAGGAGGGGGGGGGGCTCCTCGCTTACGGCATGACAGTCTGGCTGGCTCACCCACCTGCTTTCCTCTTCGTCCCGTCTCCTCCCGGGCACGCTTCCCTGGGCGCAAGTCAGCGGGCAACCACCACTTATGCAGCCCGAGCGGTCTGCGGCTGGACCGCCCGGCGCTCCTATTTAAGTCGCCCCTAAAAGGGAGGGAAGGGGGAAGAAAAAAAAGAGTGGGAAAGAAAACAGCGCACGAAACGGAGGCGGCGCAGCCGAGTGTCTTGCGTAGCGCCAGGCCCGCCTTTCCAGTGAGCGCAGGGACACGAGAGACACTAGGACCAGTTAGAAGCGAAGCGAGCCGGTTGGCGTGCGCTCCTCGGCGTTCGCACCAATAGGAGGGGAGGAGGAGGGCGAAAACCACGCAATGCCAAGGGCAGTCAATCGCGCGACGCGGCTGAACGTCGGAAGTCAGCCCGGCCGGTCTCAGTCGGTGAAGCGGAGGGCGCCGCACGTGATCCTTTGAGTGCCGGTCTGTGGGAGAGCGCTCGCAACGTCCTCGGGGGCTTCCCGGTTCTTTTGACGTCTTCGGGCTTGCTGGGGACGGTTTTCCCACCCACGTTCAATGAAGTAGCCTGGTCATTTATGTAAAAGCACACGCTGTTGTCCATTGGCAGTTCACGACGACGCCAGAAATCAATCCGTTCCCTTCTCTGATCTGTTTTATCGCATCACTTGTTCTCCAGAAAATGCAAGTGGCAGAATTAAATGCTTTGGCTGAATTCAAAGCCTAGAAGTGGAGGTATCCCGTCACCCCCATATTTTATTTTATTTTTTTGCACATACACTTGGGCAAGATTGACAAGGCAATCCTAAACACATCTCTAAAGTTCCCCTTATGTTAAGATAGAGGATTATAAATAGAGGGAATAAATACTAACAAGCAAGATTATTCTTATTTCAAAGCATACTGAAAAGATTCATTCAGTCTCAGCCTGCCCTGGGGAGAACACAACTGTTTTCTTTACAGTGTGCCACCCTGTTTGTGCTTGTTACTAAATTTCCTCAAAAGAGACAACTATTTAGCAGCAGGTCTCATTGAATTTAGAATTCAGAGTTTGCCTCCCACATATTTGCACGTGCACACGTTCCCATAGCTGACTGTTAGATTGCGCAAGAAAATTAAGAGTACCATGAATCAGAATGAAAGTTGAAGCAAAGTAAGTTGCAAAGTTTTGCAAGAATGCTTGAACTACTTAGTTCTTAACACTTTCTATGAAAAAAGTTTAAAAGATGTATTTACTGCTCTAGAAGGTAGCCAGTGCAAAATATATAGTTTATCATCTAGATTTTAAAATTCAGCAGTTTTGAGATGTTTTGAAATTGAGTTTGATTTAGAATTTTAATCAGATAGTAGCAACTCCTGAATATTCTGGCTAGGGCCTCTCAAACATATCTAGAAGATATTTTGTTATTTCTAACTTTTAGAATTCTTTATTTCTTAGTCAGAGATTCTTTTTCAGCTAATAACCCAAATGCCACTGTTGATATCTACCAGAGAAGGGACGGCTGTGGACTGCATGCATAATTAGATGTTTAAGATAAGGTTGGGCTTCATGACCGCAATAGCAATTATTGATCTGATCAGGTTATTAAGGGCCAACATTCACAAATAATCACACACTAGACCTGTTTTTTTATTTCAAGACAGAGTGACTTGATCTGAAGGTATAGACTACTACCATCAGTCTTTTCACCAAGCTGGGGGTGCTCTGTTCCCAATGCCCACCCCTGTATGGAGGTAGGACCTATCCCATCGGTCCACCCCAGGTGGGTAATGGACCTGGATGGATATCAGAGAGAACTTGAGATTTTTCCCAGTGATTTGTTAGGCAGTTCAACTAGGCAGGTCACTTGAGGACTTAATCTCTGCCTGGAATGGCTGTATGATGTGAGCCTTGACTTGGATTATTTTTAATTTTATATGTTTATCAATCATTGGGGGCTCTCTGGGGGTTGATTTTTTTTTTTACAAGATTTGGGAAATGACTCCTAGAGCATTGCTTGAAAAAAGTGAAGTGCAAACTCAACTGAGCATGTGCATGAACTGATATCAGGGGTTATATTTGGCAAAAGCCAAAGTGCAATTATTCTTGCATTTGCAGGTAGCCAATTGGAGGCCCTGCTTAAAGTGGCCTGTTTCTTGCTGTGGAGGGAGGAGTCACAAGAATATCTACAGCTACTAGCTACTGTTAGAAATATTCTGGGCATCTGGCAGATAAAGTTGCTCAGATCCACCCTAACACAGACCTTGACTGGGCAGATGCTGTAGAACTGGCCAACAATGGTTTAATCCTGTTACCTTATGTCTGATTCTGTGACTCTTTAGGAAGTGGATAGGATGCTCCTGGTGAGCCAGTCTGGTGCAGTGGTTAAACCACCAGGCTAGAAACAGGGTTATGGTGAGTTCTAGTCCTGCCTTAGGCACAAAACCAATTGGGTGACCTTGGGCTAGTCATTCTCAGCTGTAGAAAAAGAGAAATGCAAACCACTTCAGAAAAGCCTTGTCAAGAAAACTGCAGAGACTTGTCCAGTCAGTTATCAGGAATCCAAAAGTAACTCAAAGGGACATACATACAGGTTCTGGCCATTTGTTTATGGGATCTTTGTCTCTCCTAGTTGGTAAAGACCTTCCAAGACACCCCCTTTGTAGGCGATTAGAGTCATTGAGCAAATTCATCCTAGAAAGAGGGCTGGTTCTGCCTACTTTAAATGAGAAGGAAGTACACACCCTCTTCAAAAAGCCACTGTCGCACTGAATGGAGCTGGGTAATGTTTGATAAACACTTGATGACACAGCAAAGCTGGGCTGGGGGTGGTCTGACTATCTTTTTTGTTTTTTAATCTCTTAGTGACTTTTGATACTTTATTATGATTGTATTATGGATCAGCCATGAGTTTGGTGGCACAATGTTGTGGTGTATCTCTTTCCTTTTCTACATATAATTCCTGCCACAGTTGTCAGGTAGGTAAATGTCCAGTTTAAACCCTGTGGTTTTAGAGATGCCTCAGGGCTTGACAGTCTCTTTGTTTCTGTTTAATATCTGTATGGTCATCAGTCAACAGTGGGTCAGATATCATCAGTATGCTGTGCCTAGAGTATCTGAAGGAGGAAGAACAAATTTAAACCAAAGCCTGAGAAGACCAAGTGGCTATGACTTCATAGTTTTTTATGATGCCAGACATGCTCATGCTTTCCCTTTTAAAACTTTTTAAAAACCTTTTAAATTGGTGAGCAATTGGAGCATCTTCCTCGACTCACAGCTTCTGCTTGAAGAAAAGTTGCAGCTATGGCCAGGAAAGCCTCACAGATTTCATTTGCTAATATTTTCCCAAATTAAGAGTCATTTTGTTACAACCACTTATGCCTAGATGATCTAGTGTATGAATTATTGCAATGCAGTCAATGTGAATTCCCACTAAAAACCACTTGAATGCTTCCCTCCACACTAAAATGAAGCCATTAAGAAATGCTCTCTGGATGTAGTTACATGACAGTCACTTTGTGAGAGTACCTATAATATGCTCTCAAAAGTCTATTGATGCCTACTGATGTTAAGCCTGCAAGATAGTCCATACAAGCTGCACAACCAAGAGTACCACCTCTTTCTTTATTGTTAAGTTACATTAACAGACACTTGCAAGGCCAAAAGTATTTCTCCTCTCCTTTTTTTTTACTGTCTGGAAAACTAGAGAGAGTGTCTTCTGAAATGTTTCCCACTCTTTCAACCTCCCAAGTAAGCCAGGCAGGAAATATGACTAGATGAGCTAATTCTATTTATTATAAGGATATATTAACAGAATCTTGCACATCTGGAATTACAAGCTTCCTGCCGCCACTTTTAACTGCTTGATCCTTTAGGGCAGATCCTTCCTAAGTTTCTTTCTCTGACCATTAAGCCATTGGGGGGGGGGAGGGGGGCTCCTGTCTTTTAATTGATTGTTGATGCTGATTATCAGCATCTCTTCCCCTTGTTCCCCAAGGTCATACACACGGTCCATTACTCCATCCCCCTTCTATGAGTTGAGACATACTTTATATGCCAGTTGTCCAATCTGCTGATTTCCCTCCTGTCTCCAAGATCCTCACATACAATTACAGCTTTTGAGGATATTTGATATTAAAGAGACCATTCTGAGTTCTTATATGGTCCCAGTGAAAGATGTATAATTGTTGGCTCCCAGACCAGTCAAGGTTCAGGACTTTGCTGTATAAACAACCAATTTTAAGCTCTTCCATTATCAGTGAAGAGATTTATTAGTTTGGCAGGTTCATAGGAAGGCAATTATAAAGAAAAAATGCTTCCACACCAAATACATTTTGGAGATATATTGATTTTTTAGAATTTTAGAAGGAAAATAGTTCAGTTGCTCGAATTCATGTAACCCCTTCCCTTCCTCCCTCCTTTCTTTCCCTTATTTTATAGGATTTAAGGTTTGCTCAACATAAAAGAATCTTGGTGGATTACAAAAGGTTAATAAATGTAACAATAAAGTACATCAAAATTACCTTTAAAAAGCCCACACTAAAAATAAACATTACCACAAGAAAGACACCAATAAATCTTATCTAGGGTTAAAGCCCCAGTGAAATAAAGATGTCTTTAAATCTCTTCTAAAAACTGCAAAGCAGGGAGCTTTACAGGCTTCTAGTGTAGTCAGTTCCAAAATAGAGGTTAGTCACAGGGAAGGCCTGTCACCCAAGTCCTCAGAGAAAAGGGACTCTCATGAAACCGCCCCAAGGCTGGTCTCTCGCCAGACAGACAGGCAGGTTCAATCCTTGTAAGGTAGAAGCTGATGTAACGATGTAGACAATAAGATAGATGACCTTGATGGAGTTATGCAGATTGCATTGCTAAGGCAACAAGGAATGTCCAGATTCAGAAAGAACTCAAACAGATACTTCCTTAATTCACTGAAGGGAGGAAGTACACTGAAGGAGAAGGAAGTACAGCAAAATCAGACTTGCAAGATTCTATTATTATAACCAGTTTCAATAAAAGTTGTAGATACCTTGTGGAGTTTATTTAATGGCCTGGTCTACCTACTGGGGCCAACATCTGATGATGCATCATAAATCTTGGTAAAGAAATAGAGTCCCTGCACAACAATTGTTTCAACTATGCTGAAAAGATAGAAAAATATTCAACTCCGTCTAACAGTTACTTTGCTATTAAAAAATTGAAGGCTAACTATCTCTGTCCATTCCAGTGGTGGGTTGCTACCGGTTTGCCCCAATTTGGGCAGACCGGTAGCGGTG